CCACGCACCTCCACTTCGAAACAGCCAATAGCCTTTCCTCCCTGTCTTTGGAAGGTCAAAACTAAGATAATTTCATGTGGTTGAAGCGTTTGTCTCAAGGGCAGAATTATCTGTTTGGAATTCAGCAAATATCTGAAACAAACCCTGATAAAATTCCAGGCAGGCTCCAAATGCAAACTCTTTGTTACACCATGAAACTTTTCGCCATTTGCTGCTGACTTGACACATTCTGTGTGATCATACTTGTCTTTGGACAAATTAAGATGCAACTAATATTTGGTTATCTGTTTTTTGGAGAATCTTAATGCATTTCCTGCCCAGCGTGCAGCCTGATTTGTGAACCCAAATTTGCTTTCAAATACATAAATTCAACAAGCTGTAGGTCTAATATTCATTCTATTTCTCTTTTTTGTCCTTATAAAAATATACCCTGTAGCTGCAATTTTGAACAACAGAATATTGCATATTTTTCAGGTTTGATAAAATTGACCTTTTTTTTGTGCCATATAAATGTTGTTACAGTGGGGCTGACAAAACATTTGTCAGAAAGCTGTTGTAAAGTAAACATATTTTTTTCTGGCCTGCTGCAGAGGTCCTCAGTATGACTTCATGTTTTGCTATACCAGCTGGCAAATTGCCTGTGCCAGCTGTGGACATTTTTATGACTTTGATAATATGTGGGTTTGGTTTCCTTTACAAATCTCTTATTGTATACTCCAGATTTTGAAATTAAAGGAGATGGTCAATCTGTCTCACTAGCTGTTGTCATCGGAGCCCCTAAAACCAAGAATCTTAACATGAAGGTAACACCCCCCACAAATGTAATTCTGCAGACGACTCTGAGCATCTTTGAGTGAGGTGTCTAGATTGTTGTACATTTAGAAGTGTGTGCTGTCCAAAGGGTTGGAGCTGACTGTAGTTATTACAGAAGTACGGCCACCTTTTTGCTATGCTTTAATGACACACCAGCATATCACCCACACCAGCTGTGCATTTTGGAGATGTCTTTTCAATCTTCTATAACTTTGCATATGGTCTCCTCAAACATGGTTATGTTGACTTTGGGACTATGAAACTCGAGGAACCAGCCCTTCTGTCCTCTGAGGTTTTGAATTTCAAAGTTTCTAACACCAAAGAATATTAATGGAAAGGTGGAAAATCATCTGTAACAATATACTTATGGGCATATCTCCCTAAAAGAAAAATGGTGTTTAGAAAAATACAGGGAGCTTAAGAGCTTAAAGCACCTGATACTTCTGTGTTGAACCATCAGTGTTCAGATGAACAGGCCTGAAATTGGGATAAAGCAACACGTTCAACCAACATATTTCATGGAGAAAAAGGACAATAAATGGATTTTCTTTACTTTATTAAATAAAGCAAACGGGTTATGTTTTCCCACACAACATGTTATGTTGTGTTGTAAAGCATAACTGTGATATAAATTCCTTCTCCTGAATCTAGTCTGCAACGTATCTGTCTAAAAACTGTAGTTGAAATACGTCTTTAGTTTTCAAACTACATTTACTTAAACATGCTTCTTGTATAAAAAAACAGTACTTTGTAACAATACCCTGCAGTTACATAAATTTAAAGTGAAAGAAGGGACCGGTCTAAAGGCACAGACTAAAAGTTGACGAGAGCCATTAAAACTTACCCAACTACAGTTCCTGAATTGTTCTGGATTTTATCATTTGTAATATACTTGGAATAGCTTGCAATTTATCACATAAAAGAAAAAAGCAGATAAAACATTGAGAGTCAGAACGTAAGATAACTTATTCCAAATCTATGTGATATGTCTGTGCAGACTACCAGAAACGCCTCCAGTTCTCAGCCTGCAAATGAAACTTGATATCTCTTCCTGATTTGACTTTGAGGGCCACACAGACTCTTGTCAAGTGTGCGTCCATTTTGTTCAGACAAAAGCACAACTAATCTGTGTAGAAAGGTTTCAACACCTGCAGGCGTCCACCTGTTTTCCCTTCCCTGTGACCTGAGACAATACAAGGCCAGGTAGCCTCACCTCTTCTCAGAGCTCAAGTTTCACAAACACCCAGGGCAGCCATGGCCATCAGTATACTCTGTCTTTGAGGATAGCTGGACTTCAGGGAAAGGGGCTCCCTATTTGTGCAGCCAAATTCCTAAGAAATCTGCATCTGGGCAGTGATGCCCTGACATGCACCCTCATGCCCAACAGAGAAGATCAGAAGCTACAGTATTGTGGCATCAGGCTTTGTTTCACTCCTGCTCGTGGATGCATGCTGGGAGAAGTACAGAGGTTCTATGAAGTGGGAGAGTTCAGCAATAATCATACTTCAACTCAAGATGTTATGTAAGCATGCTGAGCATGAGAGGGGTTGTTTACATGTAGCCAATTATCCACCATGTGGCCCATTATTATTTTTCTGGCATGCAAAAATCATGCAAAACCCATATGACAGTTGGACCCATGCCAAAGGCTAATATTATCCCACCTAACACTTGTCAAAGTCGTACCTGTGTTCTAAGTGCCATAAAGTAGCCAAACAAGGACAAAGTGTCTGCTATCAACATATTTCCAAGAGGAAAACTTGAAGAATAAACCCAAACACAAAATGCAGTTCCCAAATGACAAACTCAGCATCAAATACACCCATGTTTAGTAAATACGGAACTCTTTTAAAAAAATGAATGGATATTGTGGTAAAAAGTAAACTATATCAGCTAAAATTAATGATAGCTGCAAAGTTCTCTCTTTTTTCTGGAACGCCCCAAACCCTGTTCTAAATATAGGGCTTGATCCAATATTTACCTACAGAGATGCTGATTACATTCCAGGCTTCACATCGTGGGAATCCGATATGTTCCTAACAAAACTGTTAAGTTAGAAAAAGACTTTCACAAAAGCATTGACAGGTTTGATTGTAGTGGCTCGTAGGGGACTTGTCTTTCACATCAATAATCTAAAGAAACTGTGCATGTGATAATGACTGTAGACGGGTGTGGTGTTACAGAAAAAATGGGTTACATCAGTTTTGAGATGTGCCAAGATCTGATGCATTTGTTTCCGAACCACCACAGCAGCAGAGATGCCTCTCACATATTCTACAGCAGAACAACCCCAAGACTTTTGCTGCAATTAGGAATGTGGCAGACGCCCTGCTGCACCCCTCCACCCACACACACACACACACACACCATGTCCCCCTCCTGCCAGTGCACTCAAACATACACAAAGACACACACTTACCATCGACAATGCCCACATTGTGTTGCGTTCTGCTGTGCGATCGCGGCTCAGTCTGCTTCAAACTTCACCCTTCCATCCAGCAGTTACACAATGGAGCTGCTTTATGTTCCGGGCAGGTTATGGATGATGACACACAGGGTCAGCAGCTCACTTCTGATGATCCACTTTTTCAGGGGCCACATTCAGTTTGTGGAGGAGTTTCTGAAACCTTACTTCGTCTTTTACCAAAAATTCCCAAAATTTGACCCTGATATGAAAAGGAAAAAGTCAGATATTCTGAGTTGACTGATGTGTTTTGCTAATCTCCTTCATGTGATTATTTATTGATGCGGGTCAGCGCGGTTCTTAATGATGTCACACATTAATATTTCACTCTTCTCCATAGACAGATAAAGGCTGTGCCAGAATACACTGCCTTTGATCAGAGAGGGCTGATTTGCTGTTTGAGGCTTTGCCCTTTAGCTGCTCATCTCCTGGTCTGACCAAATTTGGGAGGTTTATTTGCCCAGCTGACGTAAACACTTGTGGTTTATGAGCATCCACCAAACTGAAACAGCTAAGCAACCTCTGTTTATCTTTTCCTTAAGGTTCCTTTAGTCTCCTGTGTATTTTGTGTTAAGACATACTGTTTGGACGTATGGTTATTCATTATGAGGAATTTGTCAAAATATAGATATATGTTTAGAAAAAAGTTTAAAATGACACAAGACCCTTGGTTCTTGTGTATTAAAGTTGATATTTGCCAAAAAGAAAACGGAAACCTGGTTAGCCATTGGGACACCTTGAGCAACTAATGGTAAATTAAATGGATTGAAACAGGAAACAAGTGAGAACCAAAGGAGGAATTTGATCAGAGATAAATCATTAATGACAAAAACACTGAATATATGAGCTTCATATTTATATTGCTTTTGGTTAACAATAAAAAAACAAATTATAGTATACTGGTTATTTAATCTAAAAGAAGATTTAATGAGTGTAACACTGGATAGCACTTGTAAACAGAAATAATAACACACACGAAGCCCATAGTCACAGCTACTACAAACAGAACAAGTAAATTAATAGAAATATGTATAGTTTTTTGTTTTTTTGACCAATTTTTACCAGATTGGATGGTCAAATAACATATATATGTAGATAAAAAGAATTAATCCTCATAAATATCAGTAAATCAAATAGCATCATACAGCATGACACACATTTGCAACTTCCAGAGAGACACAACCGAGTGAATAAATAAATAATTGGGTAATGCTCCGTATTGTTAATCAATATTGGGGTGCACTGAAGCGGTCATCTGTGTTTAAATGACTGGTAATAGATGAATCATTACTGTTTGTGCCATCCACAGAGTGATTCACCGTCAGCCTGGGACCACTTTGTGAGAAAGTACGATCCAAGTGCTGATGTCCTATGACTGAATCACCTCTGAGTAAGTCCTTTCATAAAGATATGTCATTATGTTCTCCTTTAACTCCTTCTCTAGGCAACTGTATTCCTATCGGAATCAGTTCTTATCAACATCTCACCAGCAGAAATGCCCTCATTCCATGCACACGTAGAACACCATGAAGTAACACATTAACTAACGGTCAGTTAGCCAGGCCGCCTCAAACTCTGCAAGCTTATTCAAGCACAAACGTATTTTAACAGATCATATCATATGAGAAGAATCATATTCATCATATGTCTAATAGTATATCTGTCTGTCCATCTCAGATGTAGTTATGGACCAAAACATTTGAATGGAATATTTGGCTGTCACATGGAGCGGTTCGTGCTTCTGACGGAGGGGGCGCTGCGGAGCGGCCCCCCCCGGCCCCCCCGGCCTCCTCCGGTCCCCTCCCGGCTCAGAGACAGCGGAACCTTCATTTGGAACGTGTCTGAGGGCAGAGGAGCGGCGGGCCCGCGGCTGTAGACTCGGGACTGTGCGGGGCTGTGAACGGCTCAGTGATGCGGCTGCGGGGGGGGGCCCGCGGCTCTCCTGTTTCTGCTCCATGTTCTGGAGCCGGCCGCCGTGCTCACCTTCAACCTTGACACCAGCCATGTCCTCAGGAAAGACGGAACGCGGGGGACTCTGTTCGGGTTTTCGCTGGCTTTCCACCGACAAATAAACCCGGATAAAGTCATGTAAGTGTCGCATCTGCACGCACTCTGGGGATGTGGTTTAGAGGCACCTGAGGACGCAGGTTCACCTTACCACGTGGGGCTTTTTTTCTAACGGAAAATATGCGGAGTCTGTATTCACTTGTTCAAACTTTTAATTGTGAAAAATACTTCTCAGAAGGAGAAAATCTAAACTTCTGAACCTCTTTAGTCTGATCTGTTTTTCTTTCTGTTGTCCGAAGATAAAACCTGGCTTGTGTTGTCGCTCACACAGACTACCCACCGGCTTCCACCTTTCACATCGGCTGCATCAGCAGCCTGTATGACCGAACTTTCCCCGGGAGCCCACAGTGTTTCTTTTATGACGGTGTCTTAAATATGAAACGGGGTGCAGCTACAAGACAAGTGCAGGAAACAATGACTGTTAGTGCGATGCAAATGTTGGAGTAGAGTCAACCTGAGTGAGCATTGAGAGGAGGAGGCTGCAACGTCAGCACAGGTTGATCACTAATCAGTAGGCTTTAGAAGTTTTGAAAAGGTCAAAGAATGTATTTTAATGTTAACATGAACGCACAGAAAATGATCTTTTCTGGGTAGTGTGCAGAGGAAACATCAGTATTTAGTAAACATCAATCAGTGTTCTCATGTTGGTTTCCTACAGAAGTGTTAACAGGGACGAGTGTACACTCACATCCAGAGAGATGCTGCCTGCAAAAGGCCGTGTGTTTGTTGGAACAAGATCGTGCAGCAGCATGTTTGGGAACAGGGATGAGACACCCTGATAACAAGATGAGATAGATTAGATTTCCCCTTTTGGAATTTTATTTTGGTTTTTGGCTTTTGTGCTGGCTCTGGTGCATGAGTGATTCAACAAAACAAAACGTTTTTTTTCACAGTCACTCACTTTTCTTTATTTTGAAAGTTAAAGAGCAATCCTGCTGGACCGAAAATGAAAAGGGGAACTTTTCTGTTTGCCAGGCTTGACGGTGTAAAGAGAGGCAAATAGAGGCTTGAAATGTGACACTGGCTCGATAGTTTGTTTTCAGTCAGTAAATGTAAGGGCGGGGAGGGCACATTTGCCCTCTTACATGCTGTCCCATGAGAAAGCTGCCCCACTTCTGGAAAACAGATGACAACGATTGTAACATAAAAAAAACAAGTTTTTCTTTCCTTTTCTTTTTTTCACAACATAACAGAACCTTATTTTTTCCGACAAAAGAAAACTCAGTAGGGGAGACGGTTTATTTATTTGCCATCTTAAACCCCCACAAACCACAAAACTGCTGGTTTCCTCACTTCTGCATTAATACAGTGAAAAAAGGATAGAATAATGAATAATGTGTGTCATGTTAATGTCCGTCTCTCAAGTGCGAGACATCCTCATCTTGCACACACTCATGCTGTTTCACATCCACAACTGGATGACTTAGGTCTGTGTTACAATCTGAGCATAACCCTGAATATAATAACTGCCCTTTAAAAAACAATGTACCGAGTGCAGAAAGGGGTGTGACAGTGTCTTGCTGAAAAAGTTGAAAAAAGATGAAAATAGATTTTTCATGTAGAGGTTCATTGATACAGTTTAAACAGTTAGGATGTAATAACTAACATGGACGAATTGGCCCTCTAAAATTTGTCTATTGACCAAATTGTTTTTACACTGAGACAATGTGAGATATCCATGTGAAAGTGTGAATAAAATAAATTATTATCATTCAGTCCTGTGTCAGAAAACTCAAAGAGCACAAAGACTTCATGGTTTATGATGAAAACCAGGTGAGAGCCTCTCGTGAGCTCTGAATGTGGTGACTAAATGCGCTGCTGCGGCTTTCACACTTACAGCCCTGCACCCTACATGTGTGCAGGGCTGGTGTCTGGCAGCTTATGGGTAAAACTTCTGTAACCGGATTATAGAGAAAATAGATGATAACCCATTTTATAAATCCTGATTTTTCACAGTCCTTCTCTTTGTTTTGGGGCTTAAACACAAATCTTTTCCACTCCTCTTATGATGAAGTCCTCTTTGATGGTACTACTTCCGCACAATTCATGATATTATTGTCTTCCTTCTTTTAATAGAGTGGAAGGTACATATACCACAAAGCTGGGCAGAATTCTGAAAGACACTGCAGCATACCTCTCGGATGAATAAGGGGTTAGGTTAGTGATTTGGATTTAACGTAGTCTCGGCTCACACAGAGAAAAAGGCCATTTGACTGGACACGCTTGGCCATCTGTGCACATGTAACCTGATAGATTAAACGCATCAGTGAATCATCAACCGAGACATTCCAGCCAGACTTCTTGCGGGGATCTGTCCGTGTGAAGGAGGAGTTGAAACAGACGCATTTCAACAGGTGAATCTGCAGTCTGTGCTGCGCGTGTGTGAGTGTTCCTGCTCCCTAGCATGAAGCGCGTCCAGCCAGCCGGCCTCAGGTCCAGTCCAGTCAGAGTCCGGTGTGGGCGCCGAAACAGCTGGAACAGCTGCAGCTGCTCCCCTTGGTGTAAATGAACAGCTGTGGGAGCACTGGAGCACATCTGTTACCAGGCCGCAGTGAGATCACTGCGTAAAAGCCACACCAGTAGCCATGCTTTCCCAGTTCCAGCACAGCGAGGGAGGTGCTGCGTGATGAGATGTGCTTTCACGCTGAATACTGACTAATAACTGGACTTTGAAAGCTAATACAACACGATTATTTAAGGAATTCGTATCATATCACAGTAATGTGTTAGATGGAAGTGAAACCCCCTTTAATCCTCTTTACTAACTGTTTTTCAGATGGGCCTCTATACACTCTTATTGCACATTTTTGCCATTTTGGCTCTCAGTTTTCACTTTTTGCCCAGCATGAAGTCACTGCGTACACACCCATGATGAGTTGCATTCAGTTAGCGTGTTACATGTGATTTATCAAGTGATCTTTAGTCTCTGATGCGTTTGAAGCCAATATAACGTACCAAAACACTGAGAATCAAGGACTATGAAAAAAGTTGATCTACAAAAGATTTAGTCACCATGAGAGCAGAACCACCATTCGAAAAGGGAAAGTTGCAGGACTAAATGAGCTTTAAATGAACTGAGACATGAACCAGTGTTTTTGCCCGGCTCGTGTATAGTTCCTCTGACTGGTCAAACGAGACAGTTGTGGGAAAAGTCCACAGAAAGATGAAACCACAGACTTATAGGCAGTGTGCTAACATATCGGTGCGATGTGAGATTGTGTTGATTTTCTAAGGCTCTGTCATTTTCTTGTACCTGGCTGCCTGTCTCAGATGGAGGCATTGCAGATAAGAGAAAAAAGAGCAGCTTGCGGCTCGACAGCTGCCATGTGGCCATGTTTAAACAGAACAATCCACAGAATTGCTCCTTTTCTTTTTTTTATGTCCATACAGTGAGTTTAGCTGATTTGTAACATTTAAAAACACGTGTGAGACTGACACCTTAAAAACTGATTCATTTCCAGACGTTGAAAACATGCTTGGATTTTTTAAAATTCTTCCCCTATAATTAACTACGGGTTCCCTTTAATCACAATATTATTTGTCCTGCCATTGATGTGTGTGTTTATTATACTTCCCATCGGTGTTTTTCTGGTCTTCATTGAGAGGCTAGACGTTTACTGACCTGCTGCAGGTTTAAAGCCTAACCTGCCACCAGTCCTGTGTTAGCTCAGCTGATACACGTGTTAGGCGGAAAGTGAAACTGGGGCTTAATGTAAAGACTCACGATTGTATTTGCATGTCACTGGTCTTTGTTTGAGGGAAAGGTTTACAGTTGGGTCTCATTCATGCGTCAGACCTCCTCTGGTGAGTCTTTGGTGGAGCTAATGAGCAGTCACAGGGCTGCCCCAGTGAGCAGCATGGGGTCACAGGGAGGAGAGAAGGGTGGAGAGGATTTCCCTTTCATCCTTTGAAGAAATTCCTTCATTGTTCAACCAGAATCCTGGTCTGCTCACACGTGGGGCCAAAGTCTATTATATACAGAATTAAGTTATTATGCTTTAGTAGGGAAACAAATGCACAAATAGTTCTGAATGAATTTAAATTACCCCTCGCCAAATTCTGTGTTGATGCGTGGCCTGAAATAAAGACCTTTCTGCTTGACCTATTTGAGTGACTAATGGTGATGTCTGTGTACAGCAGAAACTGTAACAGAAACAGTGGCAGCTGTCCACATCTTCAGCAGTATGGTTAAGAGATGAGAGGAGACAGGATGTTGCTGCATTTCAATTTGATGAAACCGCTGCGTCTCGCTGCACAGGGGTGACCTTAGGCTCTCACCCACCCTTACGCGACAGGAAACAGGAACTAAGTTTATTTGCGGTTACGTCCCACATCTTTGAGCTTACTTATGTGTTCGGGTTCAGAATGCAAGCTGCCGTCTTCTTAGCCACTGTCAGCCATCGAAAAAGTGGCCCAACAGGGTGTTACCTCTAGCACAGTGAGCAAACCAGCTGTTTGTATCAAAGCTAAAACAGAACAGCAGTTGTAGAAAACAGCTGCTGAGGATTCCTTGTACCTTTTCTTTATGAGCTTTGATTTTCCTTTTTGTGCAAAGTGTGCAAAGGACCTGTGACAAAAACTGATGTCATTCACTGATGAATGTGGAGAGCTCCCCATGTAAGTCTCTTTTTGATAAGCCCCTGGGTAAATGCTATTTGCCCTGTTCCATGTGGCTCTTACCTTCATGTCGTAGTTCCGCTTCGCTTGAATTCAATTCGGCATTTTTGTCAAATGCTAATGTGCGTTGAATGAAAATACCCCAAAGTTTCCCAGTAAGAGCAAGATCACTTGAGTAAACGTTTTGTGCCAAGTTTGCTCTCAAAATGGGGCAAAAGTGTACGGCAACATGAAAAATACGAAAATGAACACAGGACGTTTTTAACAGTGGGAGAGTTTCTATTTTTTTTGTTGAACGGAATGGCAAGCCATTCTGCCTTATATGCCACAAGTCCCACAAAGTAACATGCATGGTCAAAGGAAAAAGGAATAGTAAACTATTATATTGTTGGTTAAAGTGAGAGTTTTTCAGTGTGTTCGTTGTTGAAAATGATTGGCCTGTGGTCTTTGTAGTGTAGGATTCCATTTCTGTCATTATCATGTCGGTGTGGGACAATTTCAAAGAATTTGGCTGAGCAAAGGTATGTGTGTCTGTGAAGAAGGGATGGCATGATGTTCATGTGTGCCCATGTGTCTGATGTGGCTCTTTGCGGTGATGCAGTAAAAAAAAAAAGTGTATTTTGGTCTCTGCCTGGTTTACAGAGAAAACCGGGTCAGGCTGACTGCACCACTGAACAACCCCTAAATCATTATGTCTGCTTCAGGACCTTTTTTGTGTTCTCTGCAGGCTCTCCTGTTTGCAGTTTTTTGTCTTAATACAAAATCCACTCTGAGAGACTGACGAACAGGTTAAATCGTCAATCCATAGTGTGAACTGTGCTCAGTGCAGCGAGACACAAACAGCTGTTGTGCCACAGACTGCCAGTGACTGCATGGTAGTAATTTGGTGTACCAAAAGGGACTCCAAAAGGTTAGCAATTTGACTCCTGATCTATGTGCTGCTGAATTCTTTCAAATAGTCAAAAGGTGGTACAGCTTAAAGATAAAATCTGATGTCATGATCAGAATTGAGAGTGATCCATGAAAATGTTGTGATCAGATTTGTGCACGCTTTGATCTTTTTTTCCTCTAATCCGTAATCCAGTCCCTATTTTTTCCCCATTTGTGTCCATCCCAAAAGCTGGAGGAGAAACTCTTTGAAGACACTCAGGATTTCCTTCATTTGTCACCATACATTTGAGGCACATTCCCCGTTCCTCCATTTTTTCAACTCATCTGATGGCTCACTTGTTCTCTTTATCCAACAAAGTCCATTATACTCTTTTCCTCTTATTTATAACGGTGCCTTAGCTAATAAGTAATCTGTTTGTCTGATATGAGGCATTTCAAAACTTAACTATCTTGATAGCGACACTGCGGGCAGGAACTCAGTGCATTCAGAGCGTCTGGCCTCGGCTGGAAATGGAAAGGGATGTTGTGGTTTAGAAGTATGTGCATTGTTCTTAGCTTTTGTTGACGCTCACAAGAATTGACTTAACATGGAGATGAATAGGTGTAACATTTTCACAGGAAATGGATGCAAACATAATATGAAATCAGATTGAAATCACATCACTGTCACTGTCGATGTTTTCACATATTTGGAAAAGATCTAAGCAGTTGTTCCTTTCAGAGCTGTTTGAAAATGACTCTTCAACAACAATTAGACAATCATTTACCGGCCCCCAACGTCCTGAAAATGTATGTTTTTGTGCTGTTTTTCCTCAGGCTGCTGATTGGTGCCCCTAAAGCCCCAGCTTTAAACAGGCAAGCATCAAACATCACTGGAGGCCTTTACAAATGTGAAATCACCAAATCCAATGATTGCGAGCGCATTGAATTTGATAACGAAGGTGGGATATCTGTCTGTCTGTGTCCTACAGATCTGAATAAAAATGTTGATAGCCAGTGAATACATTTTTCTCAATATATTAGAAGTGCTCACAAAGATAACTGTGAGTCAACGGTGGCTCAGAGTCCATTATATTAGCATATTGAGAGTTGTTTAAATGAAAGCTGTTGTCTCACTCTACATTTTCAGAGGACATAAGGTCAGAGAATAAAGAGAACCAGTGGATGGGTGTGACTGTGGAGAGTCAGGGCCCTGGGGGGAAGATCGTGGTGAGTAAAACTAAGCTGTTGCCCTTCTGCTCCTGCCTCGTCCTTCTTAATCCAAGAACATGAACACTTTTTTATTCTCATTTTAGACATGTGCCCATCGCTATAAGAAGCGCCTGTCCGTGAGCGGCTCTGATAGTACCGATGACATCATTGGGCGCTGTTACGTCTTCAGTCAGGACTTAACCATCAGGGAAGAGGAAGATGACGGTGGTAACTGGAAATTCTGCGAGGGCAGACAGAGAACCCACGAAATGTTTGGGACGTGCCAGCAGGGCCTGGCGGCCACCTTCTCCAAAGACTACCATTATGTGATATTCGGAGCCCCGGGAGCTTACAACTGGAAAGGTTATTGTCCCATGTAACAGAAGGAGGTCACATGGCCATCTTGATGCTTTCAACTGTGGAGCCAGGTTTTTTCATTCAGTACAGTTTCAACCACTTTTTCTAATTTGCATCTCATTCCACTGCTTCATTCTCCTCGTCGTCAGGGGTCGTACGAGTGGAGCAGAAGAACAACACCTTGCTGGAGATGGGAGTGTTTGATGATGGCCCGTATGAAGTCGGCAATGCGCGACTCTTTGACCATAGGCTGGGGCCTTTACCTGCCAACAGCTACCTAGGTGAGCTGTCAGCTTGTTTTTCTGTGCTATGACAAACTGCAAACTTGTGGACTGGAAAGAAGCAGACAACAATAAGATTTAAATTAAGATGCCAGTGTGTTGTGAAAGTACTAAAGTCATGAAAACAGAGTAGATTATCATCAGTCCTCATCATAACGAAGACACTCATGGCTGAATTAAAGGAGATTTACAGCATTATGGAAAAAAAATTCTGTGCTTGGCTGTGTGGAGTCACCACAATCTGAAAAAGTGCAAACAAAGAAACCCTGGTATTTTGTCTTAAACTCCGTCAAACTAACAATGTGTCACCGACTGAATAATTTTGCTCTTTCCATCAAGTCCCACCAATCTGCACTTCAGAAATGACTGACTTGAATTCTGTAAATTAAATTAGTATTTGAAGTATTTTATTAGCTAAAATTGTCTTCATTAATAAATAATGATTCAATTGGTAATTTCTTTTAAATTACAAACCTCATCACCAGAGAGAAAACCCAATGATGTGGAAGTCATGTTGTCATTACTTCTTGATGCGTGACGGCTACTGTAGTTGCACTACCTGTTTGAAAACGCGAGGCACTAGGGAGCAGATTTGTTAGAATGCAAAATACAATTTCACCGTTAGATGGAGGAATCCCTACACCGAGTACCTTTAATGGTTGAAAAACATGAACTGAACTCACTCTGATAAACTGCCTTCATCTGCTTCACCCGAAGTGTGTGAGGGAACGATGTCGCAACGCTTTCCTTCCTGCAGCTGTCAGGCTCTACAACCAGCACAGATCCCAGCAGTCCACTCACCCTAATGAGGCTGCTCACTGTGCAATATGTAGTCTGCACAATGCTCTTATCCATGCAATATCTCTTTATGTGCAACAGTGTCATTTCATTCAAGTTTTATGGGAACTTTTACAGTGTATATAAATATCTATATCTATAAATAGCACATTTTTATTTTTTATCTTAAATACTTAAATAAAATCTATCCAACTGTAGGTTTTTCTCTGGATTCTGGACATCACATCTCAAAGAATCGTGCCCTGACGGTTGTAGCTGGGGCACCAAGAGCCAATCACAGTGGAGCCGTGGTCCTGCTGAGAAAAGGTGACGAAGCCTCCAACAGTCTGCTGGCCGAGCACATTCTGTACGGGCCAGGACTGGCCTCTGCCTTTGGGTACGACGTGGCCGTGGTCGACCTGAACGGCGATGGGTAGGTGGCATTTCACACTTACTATCATGCCAAGAGAGTGGTTTTTACTAAATAGTTTGTCAGCCATGCAAAGCAGACTAGAAAAATGTCTGTGAGGTTTATTGACTTAGCAAAACGGATAACACTATTTAAAGATTCCCTCTCCCCTTGCAAGCACTGACATCTCAACATTTTATGACTTCAATATCACATCAATATTTCACCGCTGAAGCTCTGTTCTGTGTCAGCTTAAACTCATGAATGTTTATCTGCATGGTGCAGATGGCAAGACATAGTTGTAGGAGCGCCCCAGTTCTACATGAAGGCCGGAGACATTGGAGGAGCTGTTTATGTCTACATTAACATGGCAGGACAGTGGGAGAGAGTTACTCCTGTCCGTTTAAATGGGACCAAAGACTCAATGTTTGGACTGGCTGTGGAAAACATTGGGGACATTAATAAAGACTCTTATGAAGGTAATTAATCTGATTTCTTTTACTCTTTATTTAAGTCCCCTCATGTTGGTTTCTTTCACATAAATAGTCGTTTTTTTCTCCTTGCAGATATTGCAGTGGGAGCTCCGAATGATGATAACAGAGCAGGAAAGGTCTACATTTACCATGGCTCTGCTCATGGCATCAAAGCCAAACCTGCACAGGTTGGTTTTCTGTGCTTTGCTTTGAAGCATTTTTTTTTTTATTGACAGAGGATTACATGGCCTCTTATTCACAGGAGGCACTGATCTTAATGATGCGTAGATAATTTCAGCTCAAGTGATTTAATAACAACTTAACCGTGGGAAAAATTGAATTTAGTAATGCTTCAGCATAGCTGACAATGAAAGAGGCAGATCTGGCAGAGTGAAACCAAAGCGGTTTTCTGTGATTTATAGGCAGATATGTTAAGCTGTTAAGCTGTTTACAATGATCGGTTTTACATCGTTATCTTCTGAGCTGTTATTTATCAGTGCATTCTCATTGAATCTTTTGTCAACTTGTGTGCGTCTCAGCTGAGTACTGACAAAGCTAATGATGTTGTCTTGGCCACTGTGTTTCTGAAAATAATTTTTGGGATTTCAAAAGTATTTTTATTGGTTAGATAAATTTAATTAAAATAATAACATCTGTTAATGTTTCATCCACAAAAGCATGTTTTTTTCCAGTGGAACTGCCCAAAGACATGTCTTAACAATTAGCTAAAAGACACCAAGTTAGCATTCAGCAGCTTAGCAGACTGGCAGCATATAAGGATATCTTAGGACATATGAAGAATAAAAAGATGACAGGGTTTGGAGGAGACAAGTCAGGGAAAAGAAACTCCCACAGATGTCATCCGTTTGACTGAGCCTGGGTAAAAAGGCATGCATGCTTAACACCTACGATAAGCCTGAGCTGAATAAATTATTATCTGCTTCATCAAAAGGGTAATCGCAGAAGTTATTATATTACTTTTCTGTCCACCGTTTGTTTACCCTTTCAATTTGACACCCTTTGATCAATTTTTCTCCCTTTCCATTCCAGATCCTCTCAGGAAAAAAACACAACATTCAGTTTTTTGGTTATTCCCTGGCAGGGAAGATGGACGTGGACGGTAACTCCTACCCAGACCTGGCTGTCGGCTCCCTGTCAGACACAGCTTTGATTTACAGGTAAACTGTGACATTGCACATTGTTGCTGCAATACTAAAACTACACGCTGCTGACATCAATTGAACAACTTCTCTTCCAGGGCAAGGTCAGTTGTCATTATTTGGAAGGACGTTAAAGTCAATCCGCAGGAAATCGATCTCACGAGTAAAACATGTGGCAACTACAATTGGTAGGTGTTGTGTTGTTTCTACTAGTTCTCAGTCCAAACTTCCTCCTTGTTAAAAATGCCCTCTTTCTGTTCTCAGCTTCAATGTCACTGCGTGCTTTCACTACCAGTCGAGCCACACATCTTACACCCTATGTATGTAAAGACAGATTTGTTTGATAAACAGACGGACGCACATTTAGCTGTTCTCATGTGCATCTTTTCATTCCGTGCCCCAGCTATCAGCTATTCAATAAAGGCGGACGGAACACGCAGAAAGCAGGGGCTGACCTCCAGGGCCGTGTTCCTGAGCAGCTCCCTCACTGAATCAGACTACCAGTGGAATGGCACCTTAGACCTCCACGGTCAAAACCGGACTAATTGCATCACAGTTAGAGCCAGACTGAAGGTAGGTCGCACATTAACCGGCGAGGAGCAGTGGCAAACTCACACTGAAAGAACTCGGTGGCAAATCCGGACTCCATGGCAGCGAATCCTGATTCTTTATCTTTTTTTTTGTTGCACAGGACAACATCAGGGACAAGATGCGCAGCATTCCCATTGAGGTGTCTGCAAAAACGATTGATTCAAAACGGAGGACAAAACACGGCCTGCCTCAGCTGATGCCCATCTTAGACCCCTCTCAGCCGAGCAAAAGCGTGACTGAGGTAAGACTTAAGTTTCGATAAGAAATAAACTAATTCAGGGGGCCCCTCATCTGTGAAACACACTTTTTGTTTGTGTTTGTTTAGGTCAACTTTGTTAAGGAGGGATGCAGCAAAGATCACATTTGCCGGAGCAATCTGATTATGGATTACACGTTATTATACAAAGAGAGAAGCCGCGAGAATTTTTACCCGATAAACAGGTACAAATGAAATTTGGCATTGTTATGAAATCCATTTAAATTAAAGAATTCGCTCTTTAGCGTTTCACAATGTGAGTTTGAAGCTGGTGTTTGTGATTGTGCATATGCAGCATGAACAACATCTACGAGTTTCATCGGGATAACGAGAAAAGGGACCTGGCTCTCCGGGTGACTGTGAGCAACCCGAACGGAGACGATGCCTACGAGGCAAAGCTTGTTGGGAGATTCCCAGACAAGCTGTCGTACTCTGGAGTCCGCTCAGAGCTGACGGTAAGTTTTCTGTGCATAAAGCTAATGGGTATTTTGTTTGAAAAAAGAAATTTTTCTCAAGTTGGTCATGTGATGCACTACTTTTTGTTGAAATGTAAACGATGCCTTCTTTCCTCACAATGGAGGCTTGCAACGCCAATGCCAACGGCTCTGAGGCCGAGTGTGAGCTGGGAAACCCTTTTAAGAGAGACTCCAAGGTAAAAACATAGCCTCTTCACACATGTCGAAGCAGATGCTCGATTGTTGTCATTTACACGTGCGGGATGTTGTCTTCCCTTTTATCTTGTAAGACTGAGCTTACCATCATCCTCAACACTGAGCACATGACTCTGGACACAACTGAGATTGAGATTGATCTGCAGCTCCAGACGTAAGTGCACCGTGACTGTGTTCATTCGTTTATGAGTGTGTGACTCACACACAGCGAGCTGGCGGCCCAGTGCTGGCTGCACACACTATTTACTACATACATTTAACACATTATAGAAACCCAGTGGCGTTATCTCTGTGTGGACCATAAGAGAGTAGTGAGCTCATACACAGTGGGAGGAAAGCTAAATTGTTTTTGAATGACTTTTTTATGATCAACGCATGACTGTTTATTCCTTCTTTCTATGACATTAACCCTGAGCAGCCTTGAGCCAATGTGTCTTCTTTATTTTTGCCTGAATACACCTTTGAGCAGCAACAAGTCGTGTGCTTTTTTTCCTCTTTCCTTTTAGGACTAGCGACCAACAGAACATGTCCCCAGTGAGGGTGAAAATGAGGGTGGTCTTCGATGTGCCTCTGTCAGTCATCGGGTAAGTTCTCTGACCAGCACACACCACACCTGCAGCTGCATCCAGAGTAAGGAGCGCCGCTTCTCTCCCTCAGTGAAGCCAACCCGAGTCAGGTTTCTTTTGGAAATGTTGTGAAAGGTGAAAGCGCCATCAACACAGAGGAAGAGATTGGCAGTTTGATTAGCTACACTTTCACAGTGAGTTCAGCAACAGAACCTGTTTGTTGTGTAAATCCTGAATCGTTACTGTCATAAAGGTTCTTTGATCAAATCCTGACACTGTGTTATACCAATGTTTCAGATAAACAACGAGTGGAAGACTTTGGGGCCTTCTCTCAGCGCCAATCTGCTCATTCATTGGCCTAAAGAGAACAAAAATAGGAAATGGCTCCTGTACCTGGTTAAAATCTCCTCCAAAGGAGCTGAGAAAATCAGCTGCCTCCCAGAGTCGGAGATCCACCCTCTCAAACGCATCAAGGTAGCGCATTTGAACTGTTTGTTTCCTAAACGTGATGGAAAACCTGCACTTGCAGCAGTATCAGTCCCGAAATTGGAAATTGGAGATTAGCGAGAGATTTTTACGCTTTCAGGAGTCTCCTGTGTCCCGGACAAGACGAGAGATTCCACGGAAGGAAAGCGAAAGGGGTGGCAAGAAATCTTATCTGACGGGCAGGAGCAAAGTTTTGGTGAGTCTCGGTGGTGATTCTCACTGAAGTCTGCAGGTTCCAGGCGTCACGCTGAACTCTTCCCGCCGTTGCAGAGCTGTGAGAGCGAACTCAGATGTGTGGTGCTGAATTGCCCCCTGCAGGGCCACCACGGAACGACAGTCGAGCTCAGGTCTCGTTTGTGGAACTCCACTTTTATGGAGGTAACGGCCAGCCGTCTCTGTTTATGACACCCGCACTCTTGACAATCAGCCCGATGAAGCAGCTGCTGCTTTTGTCCTCATGCAGGAATACGCCACTTTTTCCACCCTGCATTTGGTCGTCAGGGCCTCGCTTGTACTCAGCACTCAGGCTCAGAACCTGATGCTGACCAGTCCGGACGCCATCGTATGTAGTTGAACCATCTGAATGGAATCACTGCTGGCAGCATGAGCTTATATAACACCTCATTTGGTCTCTTGGTTTTCCTGGTTTCGATGCCGGCTCACAGGTGACGGTGACGGTGTCTCCGGAGAGTTCCATAGCACAGTATGGCGTTCCCTGGTGGATCATACTGGTGGCAGTTATGGCAGGAGTCTTGATTTTGGCTTTGATGGTGTTCCTGCTCTGGAAGGTGAGTATAAAGACTTAACTCTACATAATCTATGTATGGTAAAATATACTGAGCCCTAATAGCCTGAGAAAAAGTTTCTTGATTTATCCGGTTGCAAAGATTTTTTTCTTTTAGTGGCTGAAATAAAGTTTGTTTGTTTATGGATTTAAACCTGGCACAGAAGCAGAAAAAGTGCTGTTTTTAGTGTTATTACAGAAGACTAACAGTTTCATTTCCTTTTCAAGTTTAATATGAGATTTTTCTGCTTTGGGTTTCCAAGTTTTAACTATCAGAAAAAAAACATTTTCTTTTTCTTGAAAACTATTTAAAAATTCATGCTTCAGTAATAGAGATAGAAGATGCTTTTTTCATCCCACATGAGGGAGGTTCACATGGTGTTCTGTCCCAGAATTTCTTTAAGGTTGTGAGGTTTGCAGCTGGGCAAAGGTTGAAGGTCCAGGAAGGAAGTTACTTTATTTGTTGCTTTAGGTCGTGTTGTTTACAGCAAGATTACAACATTTAGGCCAGCACCCACACACCCAACAGCCATAACCAGACGCAACGCAGTATGAATATTTGTAATCACAAGACGAGAAAGAAAATGATGGACTGGAAGTCAGAGAAAGATGGCGATTATAAGTGAATGAATTATCAAAAATGAGACCATTTGCTCAATAAGGCCACAGATTTATCTTCAGTATTTCCTGAGCACCATCTTGCTGATCAACTGTCACAACAACCTTAACCCCCCCCACTCCCCCCTGCTCCTCCTCAGTGTGGTTTCTTCAAGAGAGCAACTAAAGAACAGTACAATGCTGCGTACCACCAGGCAGAGATCCACATTCAGCCCTCTGACAAAGACAAACTCTCTGCTGAGGCCTGATTTCTCCTGTCTGAACAGGGGTAAAGTCAGCATGAAGTGTGATTCTTTCCGCAGCTGCTCATGAACTCACTTTCCATCCAGATCTGCTGACTCATTGCTGCTGCTGCAAAAAAAATTCAATCAGACACATATTGTACAGAGCCGACAACACAAATCATTTGAATAACGTTGCACAGAAAAATCTCCCGCCTGCATTAGGCATCAAAGTAAGTCATCAGAGCCATTGTTTGGATAGCGAGTGGGAGAACAAACATCTACTCAGCAATTAGGTATTTGTGCAGTATGTGTCTCGGAATTTTTTTTTTTTTTCAAGAAACGCGTGCAGTTTGCTTTTCCTCTGTGAATCTGGGTGCTGTGCCGTGCGGCCGCTCCTCCCGCTGTCCGCCCTGCTTTTCAGCTGTTTGGAAAATGCAAAGCATGCTCCACGCTGCAGCTCTGCCTCTGCACAGCAGCCGCTCAGATTTAGACTCACAGCCGTTTCCGTGTGCCCTCCCACCAGTGCGGCTTCTTCAGACGCTCGCAGAAGGACGACAGCATCCCTCGCTACCACGCGGTGCGCATAAGAAAGGAGGCTCTCCAGCCCATGGACGGAAAATTCAAAGTGGATCCTTTTGAGAAGAAGCAGTGGATGACGAGCTGGATGGACGAGGAAAGCTACTCCTGAATTTCAAAATGTGTTCCTTCTTTTTTGGGGGGGAACGAAATTGACCTGCTTTTTTTAGTTTGTGCCGCAAACTTTGAACTGTTTTTTGTGAGAGAGGTGCTTAGCATAGCTTTTTTAAATGTCATGTGGATAACTTTTTCCAGGAAATAGTTGACTTTTTACACTGTATAGACATGAGATATTTTTTTGTAATTGCTGTATATACAATTGAATGACCTCCGGTAACTTTGTATTTATTTTTTTATATGAAAGAAGCCATGCAACCAAAGTCCTTTGGAACAAGTTTACTGCTGTTTCTGGAGCTTTACTGTGCGTTGAAAAACTGAAAACACCTTATGCAAGGAGGGTACAAACACACCACTGTGATACGAATGTAAACCAGTCAATCATTTCTGTTTAGTTTGAATCTTTTGAATCTTCAGATAGGCTCTTTTTTATCTTGAAATGACATTTAGGTACATTATTAGGTCAAAACATAAATGCGTCGCTTGTGTTCAGATTATTTCTTCCTGTCGTCTCTCACTGCCGTGGCGTCCAGGTAGCATCCACTGTACTGTAGATCATCACTGAGGGAACAATTCTTGTTCCATGTGAGGAATCCAAAGGGAACGTATAAAAAAATGCTAAAAAGTATGTTTTGTAAATGTAATCATGTTTCAATTGTTGCCAAGTATAATAAAAAATCATAAGACTCATTTCCACTAATGAACTTTAGTATAGCTCTGTGTGCACAGCAGTATCCAGACCTCATCCTTATTCCTGTACATTTTACTCAGAAGAAGCCATGTAAAGGTGAATGTTTTCGCTGGGTTATTTTTCAGGGGAAGCAGTCGACGCCACCGTGTTCCAGAAGCACCGCGCGGCATTCTTCTGGAGAAGTGACCGATGTTAAAAGAGACGAGTCACAGCCACCACACCGAGATAACCCAATTTGAATGTCAAGGTTTGGCCAAGAAGTCAGATTAGACAGGACTAGATAGAAAATGAATACATTATGACACTTATTGTCCCCTGCACTTACGATTTCAGTGAAAGCCTGAAAGGTAAGATGTTCTTTTTTTTTTTATTTGTGATAAGTTAGGTCTTTGTAACTTATCAGTTATTGCATATTAAACAGCAACTGATTTTTATCTGGGTCAACACATTTGACCAAAACATTGTTTTTGTTGAAAGAATAGAAATTGAATCTGATAAATATACCTAATAACTGCATTTGGTGAACAAAAGGCAGGCTTTTAGTATTTCATTTGACACCAAAAAAACAAAAAACAAACCCACTTGTATTTGTCAGTAGCAATGATTGTTCTTAGGTTTGTTTCAGTGTGACAAAGGGCCAATGAGACAAATTATTAACTTTTGTTATCAAAAAACTAGCAAACAAAGAAAAAAAGAGAATTATATCAAACATTTATTTAAGCGCACTATTCAGAATAATTTGTGTGGACAGAGAAATAAGCTTTGTATAAAAGCTGTTGTATTTGGGAAAAAAAAAAAAACTTTAGGAAACTCAAGACATTGTAAAACTGAAAGAAAGAATCAATGAAGCAGGATCGGAACACCCTAAGTAGTATAGTATTGTACTTCTGACCTCACTATGCACAGTTCAAGCTATTTACTTTAAATCAGTCAAATGTTAAACGGAAGGTTTTCTCCTGCTCCTTGCGCTGGTTGTCACACAGTTTGGACACTTCCTCCACTCTTCTCTGCAGGAGAACCGAGTTCTGATCGATCCACTGTAGAGAATCCATGTGAGCGTTGAGAATTTTACAGATCTGCTGAAGCTGAAGAAGACAAAGACAAGAAAAGATGAGGTCAATTCAGGCTGTGTTTCTTCATCGGATGACCAAAAGGCGGAGGTGGGATCTTACCGGGTCACTGGTGTCTGCCGGGCCGCTGGACGTGTTCAGGTGCTCGATGATCTCCTTCAGGTCCTGGGACATTCTCTTCAGCTGCGCGTCCACGTTCTCTGCGAGCTTGTACGTTCTCTCGCGCTCCTCGTCTGCGTTTTGCATGTAGATGGTTCCACTCTGCTCCTTCACCGACTCCTCAAGCGGGCAAAGCAAGTCCTCCAGCTCCTTCTGTTGGGACAGGATGAAGTCCAGCTCCTGGTTTAGCCGCCTCTGGTCCAGCTTCACCTTTTCCATCTCCTTGTGCAGGGCAGTGATTTTCTCTCCGTTCTCCACCAGCATTCGGTCCCATGCGTTGACCTGGGTGGCCTGCTGTAAGAAATGTCTCTCCTGGTCCTCAAGCTCCAGGCTCCACTTGTTAATGAGACCCTCCAGCTGGGCGTAGGTCATGACCGGCGGAGCTGTGGCGGTGGCGATGGTCGTGGCCGTCGCAGTTGTCGTGGCGCTGGATGCAGGTTTGAATCCCAGAGAAAAGCCCGTGGCAGCTCCTGTCGTGGCGGCTGCAGATGGGGCGGATGAGGCAGGGGCCGAGGTGGCGACCGAGCCCAGCGGCTTGAGCATGAAGGACACTCCTGTCCCGGGAGCCGTGGTGGTCGTAGCGCCTGCTGATGAAGCTGGGGCCGCAGCCATCATGAAGCCTGTGGCTGGTGCAGAGGTGGCGGCGGCAGTTGTGGTGGTGATGGGCGAAGCAAACAGGGTTGGGCCTATGTTTGGGGCAGCCTGGGTCAACGCAGGGGGAGCTGGGGTGGATGAGGGCTTAATACCAAAGTTAAACCCTCCACCTTGGCTGGTTGAAGTAGCAGTGGTGGACGTTGGCTGGGGCTGAGGCTGGGCCAGGCTGGAAGGGGCCGAGGTGCCAAAGCTGAACCCCCCTCCCGTGGGAGCAGAAGGCGCGGCTGAGGTCACCTGGACTTTGGCGCCTCCAAAGCTGAACGCCCCGAACGACAGCCCGCTGGCTGCCGTCGTGGCTGCGGGCACAGCTGATGCTGCCGGTTGGGTTTGGGCTTGAGAAGCAGCTCCAAAGCTGAAGCCCCCTCCTGCTGGGGCAGTAGTGGTGGTCTGTCCAGACAACAAGCTTCCCAGAGAGAACCCTGACGCAGCCGCTGGAGCTGCTGTGGATCCCAGACCCAACCCTGGAGCTGCTGTGGATCCCAAGCTCAACCCTGGGGCCACCATGGATCCCAGACTCATCCCTGGGGCAGCTGTCGTGGATCCCAGACTCATTCCTGGGGCTGCTGTGGATCCCAAACTCATCCCTGGGGCTGCCACCATGGATCCCATACTCATTCCAGGGGCTGCCGTCGTGGATCCCATACTCATTCCAGGTGCTGCCGTCATGGATCCCATACTCATTCCCTGGGCTGCCGTCATGGATCCCATACTCATTCCCTGGGCTGCCGTCGTGGATCCCAGAGTCATTCCCGGGGCTGCCGCCGTGGATCCCAGACTCATTCCCGGGGCTGCTGCCGTGGATCCCTGACCCAGCCCCGGTGCTGCTGTGGTTTGCGGATTCGTACCTAGGCCAAAAGTGGTTGTGGGTGTCCCAAAAGAGAATCCCCCACCGGATGCAGAGCTCTTTGCTGGAGTGCCAAAGCTGAAAGCACCAGTCGGGTTGGTGCTGGTCTGCGTAGCCGCGCCGAAGGCGAAGCCTCCTCCTCCGGGGGCAGCCGGTGTGGAGTTCGTTACACCGAAGCCCGTACTGGGGGCAGCAGCCGTGGTCTTCTGACCTCCGAAGCTGAAGCCCGTAGGTTGTCCAAAATTGAATCCGCCACTCATTTTCTTTCTCGGGACAGCGTGGCAAAGTTACCGAATAGGCTAGCGTTCAAAATGGTCACTTCCTCGCTGAGTCGTTGCGGCTTTTGGCGGGTCGCAAACACGAGCTGCTTCGACTGAAGTTTCTCAAGTAAAACTACGTCTGCCGCAGGTATTTTCCCCGCGTTAACAACAACTTAGTTCAACCGCTACCTTCCGAACGTCAGTTCTAGTGGAACATACATCGAAAATTAACGACTAAAAACGTGGGCAGCTAACTCGACATTCTCTCAAGCAGGCATTTGTGTCGCTACCAAAGGAAGTGACGGAGGCTTATGTGATGACAGTTTCCGTTATTTACCCATAGTTTGTCTGGCAAGGAATAGTTCCGCCTATTTAATAAACTGACAGCTATACTATCCAATAATATCTGAGATTAGACGTAACCTGGCATATGATTGGCTGCGTGTGCTGCCCGGGCATGAGAACGTGCAACTATTACGTCCGAAGAGTAAATGACTAACAAGTAAGATGCAGCATAACCACAATGCTTCCTTCCTGGCGCTGATAAAAATAAATAGTTTAATACAAGAGTCTCAGCGTGGGTTCATTTTATGACATTAGACTATGAAATGGTCAACTTTGTTTCCCATCCTACAAAAATACATAAGCAAAGGAGTTGTATTTCGCTCTTTTTATGTTTGAATTTTTTTCTATTTGTATTTTTTCAGGTTTTTAATTCTATATGACTTAAAAACTATATTACATTTATTCATACAGGCTCTCTTATTAAGGTAATTGTTTATATTTTTGTTGGACATATAAACATATACATGTTGCTATAGCAAATAAACCAGTTAAATAATGAGCGACAGTCACAAACCGGAAGTCCACCGCCGAAGCTTCTCTTGACGTTTTCCTCTCTCTTTGAATTTTAGCCAGCCGCGCATTGACTTTCTTTACCGTGGGTAGTGTTCGCCTCCAAGGGTTTAGCAGGGAGCACCTGAGGCGAAGGACGATGGACGAACATGGACCCTAAAATACCATAAACAACACATATTTATTTTAACGAGTATTTCCGAGGTGCTGAGGTTAGCCAACAAGCTAGTCAACGGTGGTTAACGGTCACTGGAGACTTTACCGTGGACGCCACCTGCTTCCAGATTAGAAATATTGTATTGACAGTTGAACGTGAGCACACCTCGGACGTGGCACCATGAGGCTCTTAAGATTTTTGAGGAGCAGCGTGTCGATAGGGAAGGACATTGACTTTTACTCCAAATTTTCTCCTTCCCCTCTTTCCATGAAGCAGTTTCTTGATTTTGGTAAGTTCATGCCCACACCCCCTGCTGTGTTTGGGTTAATGGAACCATTACTGAGCATCACATTATCTTCAGAGTTCAGTTTCCAGGGCTGGTACCTCTGAAACAGGGTGTCTCTCTAATAAAAGAAGATAGAGAAGATTAGTTAAGTCCAGGAACTAAACACGCCTGTGATTTCAGTGGTTGTTGGTTAGTTTTATTATTTTGATATTTTATTGTCTTAGTTGTGTCCCTGAGGCCATGTGTGGGTTGTGTACTCATCTGACCTTTATGTGAGCAGTACTTTTCCTCCTCGGGGCCTGCTGAGCTTTGAGAGAGGCGCCTTTGTTTAGTCTTCACCAGACAAAAGTTCCTGCTCTTCATGCTGCTCAGGGCTGCATGTGTAAGCTTGTGTTTGGGTCTTTTCACCCTCATACTCAGATAAAAGCTGCTTCAAGTCAGAGCAAATATCTACATATTGAGACTGTTGATACTTTGAAATAAACATATAAGTAAATAGATGTTATTTATTTATATTATGGATTTGATGTGTTTCTGATCCAGGGCAGAAAAAAAAAACAGATTTTGTGCCATCTGAGTTTCCTTTTTGTCTTTTAGGCTCAGAAAACGCATGTGAAAGAACCTCCTTCGCCTTCCTCAGACAGGAGCTCCCTGTGAGGCTGGCAAACATCATGAAGGAGATCAACCTGTTGCCCGACAACTTACTGAGGACTCCATCGGTCCGTCTGGTCCAGAGCTGGTACGCAGCTACTGCTTTTCCCAAAACTTTCTCTCATGATTAAAACATTCTAAATATGATTTAAAACACCCACATTTCCCCTTTTTGTGTGTAGGTACATGCAGAGTTTTCAGGAGATTCTTGAGTTCAAAGACAAAAATGCGGACGATGAGAAGGTCACCTATGAGTGAGTCCTGCTTCTGTTTCCTCTGTGGAGGCGACTCGTGCTCCTGGACGTTGTCTCTTCTAACAGTTTTTGCCTCCGTTTAGCTTCACTGACGCGGTGATAAAAGTCAGAAATCGCCACAATGATGTCGTGCCCACCATGGCCCAGGGGGTGGTGGAGTACAAGGAGGCCTACGGGACCGACCCGGTGGTCAGCCAGAACCTTCAGTACTTCCTGGACCGTTTCTACATGAGCAGGATCTCCATCAGGATGCTGCTCAACCAGCACAGTGAGCAACTTTTCACATTCCCGACTAATCGAGGCCTCCGGTGGGGGACCAGAGGCGGGGGCCCCCTCGGGCCCCGGCTGCCGCCTCCATGTTTTGGCCGGGCGGGGTTCTTTAGGCGTGTCTAGTCCTGCTAAAGCCCGAGCCGACCCACCACACCCAGAGAAAGGCACACAGGGAGGAGCTTCAATCCGAGAGCCACTTCTATCTGAGTTTTTAACGGAGTCTTATGGTGTGGATTCTGAAATGGAAAGATCCTTCACAAAGGTTCTATTCCTTATCTTACTGCTGGTGTTCTGATCAACAATATTCTGCTATCAGCAGATAAAAAGCGGCACAAAGGCTCAATGTTCAGATGACCAGGAAACGGAGAGGTGTTTTTCAGTGGAGTGGGTAAATCCGGGAGGAGCTTCCCTTTCCCCTCCACAGCTTTAAGGTGTAATGTGTTTAATGTGTGCAGACGGGCGTTTTAAGAACGTTTTACCGGCCCGGGAACAGGAGGCCATAACCAGCGCCAGCTGCAGAACCAGCTGCATTGGCCAATCAGGAGACCAAAATTGTGCAGAACCAAATCTTCAACATTCCAGTTATGTCAACCCCTGAAAGCTAACCCTTAACAAACGAGCGCCTCCTCTCCGTTCTCTGAGCAGTGTTGCTACAACTTAAAGTTGTGTTGTGACAGATTTGTCCTGCGCTTTGGTAAAATGTTGCACAAACCCTATCGCCCCAGCAGCGAGTGCGTGCTGTACGCCGGGTTCTGACGGCTCCACCAATAACGACACAAACCGAAACAACTTAACCAAAACAATGGCAACATTTTGAAGATGTTTTTCTTCTCTCTCTATCTTTTTTTTCTAACTTCCAGCTCTCCTGTTCGGTGGAAAGGTCAAAGTGAACCCAGCGCACCCCAAACAGATCGGCAGCATCGATCCACACTGCTCCGTCAGTGAGGTAGTCAGAGGTGAGGGTTGTGGGGGTGTGGGGGGGTGTTAAGCTCTGAGGTATCAGTGTTCCGGGGTCCCTTAGTCCCTCGTGCTAAGAAAAGGCCACCCTGTGTTGCAGACGCCTACGAAAATGCCAGAAACCTCTGCGACCGCTACTACATGAACTCTCCCGAGCTGGTGCTGGAGGAGTTCAACGGTAACTTGTTTTAGCCCCCGCTCATGCTGAGCCTGTTTCAAAGGGGGGGGGGGGGCGGTGTGTGGCTGAATCCTCTGTGTGTCCCTGCAGCCAAAGAGCCGGGTCAGCCCGTCACCGTGGTCTACGTCCCGTCTCACCTCTACCACATGGTGTTCGAGCTCTTCAAGGTGGGCCCAGCTCCCTCTACCTTCCCTTTCCTCACAATGTGGGTATTTATTTATTTTCTCTCAACATCTTGTGCTTACCAACGGTGGCAGAACGCCATGAGGGCCACCATGGAGCTGTATGGCGACGGGATGGAGTATCCAGCCGTCCACGCGCAGGTCGCTCTGGGAACCGAAGACCTCACAGTGAAGGTGAGATCCTTTTTTCTTCCCTTTTTCAGATTTCTTCGTCCCGGGGTCTGGGTTCATAGCTCTGTGCTGTTTGTAAGGTGAGCGACCGTGGGGGCGGCGTGCCGCTGCGGAAGATCGACCGGCTCTTCACCTACACCTACTCCACGGCCCCCCGGCCCAGCTTCGACGGCTCCCACGCCGCTCCGCTGGTCAGTGGCCGTACCGCCCGAGCTCCAGTAACGTCCAGCAGGTTCTGTGCGCTGGCCGGAGCTCCGTGGGCACAGAACCGGACCTCACAAGTTTGAATGTGTGAATGCTGTCTGCAGGCTGGCTACGGCTACGGCCTGCCCATCTCCCGGCTCTACGCTCGCTACTTCCAGGGCGACCTGAAGCTTTACTCTCTGGAGGGCTACGGAACCGATGCGGTCATCTACATCCGGGTCAGTGCCCCCCCCCCCAGCAATGGCGCTGTCCCAGCTCAAAGCAAGACGGCTGACATGAGTTCTCCTCCTCGCTGTGTTTCAGGCCCTGTCCACAGAGTCCATCGAGAGGCTTCCGGTGTACAACAAGTCGGCCTGGAAACATTACAAGACCTTCCACGAGGCCGACGACTGGTGCGTGCCCAGCAAAGAGCCCAAGGACATGACCACGTTTCGGAGTTTCTAAAGCCAAATAGACAGGGTTTCTGTAGCAGTCTGAGTCTGAGTAAGTGTGTGTGTGTGTGTGTGTGTGTGTGTGTGTGTGTGTGTTTGATGAAGTGGAAAGGATATATTTATACAGAAAGTTTTCAAGAAAAAAAAAAAAGATGTGGCAAAGTCTTAGTGCCATACAGTGTTTAATGTGTCGTTTTGAAAGAACAGAAAGTGATCGAGACCAGGTTTCTATAACTCCACAAAAGTAAAAACCAGTTTATCATCAGTATTTATTAGAAGTCTGTGTATTTAACCCATGCCAAAAAACAGTTAGGGCATTAGTTGAAAAGAGTTTAAAACTCTTTGAGTGTTGAATAGAGTTCCACTGGGCTCTGGGGGCTCCTCCTCTGAGGGTGTGGCTGAACTGGTCCTTGAAGGTGTGAGTTGGTGGCAAATATGTCGTGCTGCCATTAAGACTCAGGTTTCAGTTTGCAGCTTTGTTTTGCTTTTCTGTCAGCGTCTGCAGCCTCTTTTTTTTTTTTTTTTTCTCTGCTTGTGAGCTTTGGTTAAACCATTAGCTGCTTTTCATGGTGGTGAAAACATTTCTGCCTTCTCTGGCTACAAATGTCATTTAGGTCACGTCCTCTTCAGCTGGATGATGGTGACCAGCCACAAGATCAAGTGGTGATTTCCTGTTAGTTTAAAAAAAAAAAGTTATTTAGCACTTTTTTCTTTGCGTGTTACATGGTGAAGCAGCTCCTAGAAAACAGGCCGTCACAGTTTAGGGACTTGATTTGCAAAAAAGATTCAGCACCTTTGAATGGGATCTGTGCTGTGGTTGTAATTACAGTCACATAAGCTTTGTTCCCATGTTGCACATGACTGAGGATCATTGGTAAATATTTAACAGATTATTTTTGTCTAAACGGAACAGACAGGGGAAAGCGCTCCGCAGGCTGACAGCTGAGGGTATTAAAGTGTGTGAGTGTTAGTGTGTATCAGATGATCCCCCGCTGGAGCAAATGTTCGGTCAATTATTTTAAATTATTGTGAACAAACTGGCTTTTAATAACTGTAAATGCTGTGAAACAAATATTAAATGTTCATATTAATGTTGAGGCATTTTTTGGCAGTTTTATGGCGGCTGGTGGAAAACACGATGCTAGCCACTCAAAGTGAAAAGGAGTTTATTGATGCTGTGTGTACCAAGAGTCCCTTCTCAGAACGGCCTGGCGGGCCGCAGTGCGTACAGAACATGGAGAGGAACCTTTCATTTTTCAGTGGTGACACAGGTCCTGATGCACTCAGGTGTGTGTCCCTGGGCTCCTCCCAACTGCCGAAACAAGCACAGGCGTGCACATGCTGGGTGACGGTACCATCTCAGCCATACGGAGCCGGAGTGGGCCAGCGTAGCAGCGTTCACCTGGTCCCTCCTTATCCCTGTGGTGCTGCTCTTTCAGCCCAAAAATAAAAGATCTAGCTATTCTACTTAGTAGAAAAAAAATTATAGTATAAAATGAACAATGGAATTTAAGTAAAACAAAAGATGCAGTTAACAGGCACATGTATAAAACTCATTTATACATTTCAAACCTTGTCACCCATTAAGCTTAAAAGACAAATATAGTGCTTTTACCTGAACTGTACAGTAACCACTCCTGCAGGCCCGAGCCCAGCTGTCATTTCAGAGAACAATATAAAATACTAAAAGAAGAGCCGTATACATTTGTTTTCCATAAGTAAATGAGTGCATGATCTGCAAGAACTACGTCATATTCGATTACAGACATAGAAGTATAGCTTCTTCTAGCTTTTTAGTGGTAAAAATGTTAGAATATTCATTTTGGTCGCATCTAACTTAACATTCCCCATTGTGCTGTTAAAAAGTTCATTATTTGGAAGAAAAGAGATTTAAAAACAAAAACAGTTATAAAGGTGAATGGAAGTCATAGTTCTGAGTACGAGGCCACGCCCCTCTGACGCCACAGCTGGATCAGCAGCTGCCCGTCCAGCTCAAGCATCTCTTATCAAATTCACACTGCGGGTTCGGTTTGACATCACCAATCTGACATCTGTGTGTTTGGACTGTGGAAAGACGGCGGTGGAGAGGAGGTGCACAGCTGACCAGCAGGTTTCCGGCCCCTGCAGCGTCCAGCGTTCTCAGTTCTGCGTGGTGCTGGAGCAGAGACCTCAGCAGACGGAGTCCGTCGGGAGCGGCAGCCTCCCGCTGCGCCGGCCCTCCTTCTCCCTTTTCTCTCGCTGCTTCTCCAGCTTCTCCTGGGCCTTCCGCATGTCTTTCAGTTTCTTCTTGATAGTTGAACGGTCGCTTTGACTCATCACGCCAAGTGCCTGAGACAAAACACGCACTCATTTGTAAAAATGAACCACTGTACAACAGCAGAACAGTTCTCTCATTTCCAGCTTTCCTGTAATCATAAGAGATAAAAACAAAACGACTCCGACCACAAGGGGGCAGTAAGAGGCTGACAGCCCACATGATGAGGCTTTCTTTAGAGCTGGAGACAAACGCTGTGTGACATCATCAGATGAAATGATCAACATGTCATTGTTTTCTTTTTTACCTTCAGCTTGTCGCTGTCCAAGTGCATGAGCTGCTGACCATCAACTCCTTTAGCTGTGAATTCTGGTGTGTACTGGTCCATGTTCATGCCCATCAACCAGTGGCAGACCTGCTGATTGGTCCACTCAGAAACTGGCCGGTTCTGCCACTGGTACTCTTTTCCTGTAGCTGCCGGTTCATCATCCAAAGTCTATACAGAACATAGACATCACAGAAAACGTGCTGAAATATATGTAGCTGCTTTATTTACCGCGCTGCCTCTTCAGATTTTTAGTTTTAAAGGCATGTTTCTAATAGGTTCTGCCCAAAGTGAAAAGTAGCGCATCCACAGTTTTCAGCAGCCATCGATGCTTTGAGCAGCACAACTAAATCTGCACTGGAACAGATGACAAATGTCATCACGTGACCTAAAATATGTTAACTTTTTTATTGGCAGAGTTTACACAAAGCTAACTGACATGAAAAGCTCATGATAAACCGGTTCTGCTGGCACACATCACCCAAAGGCGGCACACAACACAAGCGTGCAAAAACACTGAAATGATTTTGCCTGTCAACGCCGTCATGTTTTCACACAAAAACTGGCCAGTGTCAGAGAAACTGGAACATAACTGAGCAGGCAGAAGCAGAGATATACATCATTAACACCACAGCCGACTGAGGAGAAGACAAGCCACAAGATGTCTGAAGACAAAACAAATGCCTTTAAACACACATGCTGCTCTTTTGTATTGTGTGTCCATTCATGTTTAATCTGTGCTATGAAAGGGGGCGAGGGCTCAAGAAGCATGCTTGAGAATGTCCCCTTTCAGCGGCATCAAGGCGTCCCACACAGCTTTTGTGACTGTGCAACAAGGAGAGCACTCACCTCGCTGGAAGAGAAGATTAAAGTGTGTGAGCGCCCAGACAGATTGGGCTCAGCAACTAACCCAGAGATGTCTGAACTGGGACTGGCAGGGTTAGAATCATCTATGACTGACAAACTCTGGAACAAGTGGAAACAAGGAGCGCATTTACTACAGGTTCACATCACCAAACAGCTTTCTCTTCATCTAGGAGAGGCTAACACACACAACAGGGTGAGGCTTCAGATTGGTGAGGTTTCCACAAGGGCGCAAATATGCTGCAAATGAAGTCAAACGAATTACATCAGCTGCAGTGTGAGTTATTGATTATGAGTAATGATTTTATTCCTAATCAAGTGGAAGGAAGAGAGGTGAGCATCTATTTTGCAGCACAATGTTCACGCTGATAAAAGCCGAGACCTATCTGCCACCAAAACTACATCATCATCTTCAAAACTACAGCAGCTATCAGTGCTAGTCCTACTGAAGGAGCACGATCACAACATTTAGGTATGAGGTAATGTTTCCATTCCATTTTATATATGTGTCAATCCAAAACTATCATAGATAAGTTAAAGGTAGATTCATGTGATTTTTGATCTAAAAGAACCGCAGCAGTGTTACATTTAAATACTAAACTCAGACCAAATTGTCCTGTAAAACTTTAAATAATCTGTAGATATAAAAACGAAGATGAAGTCTCATCAGATCCTAAAACACTACCACATACCCACTATTAAAGAAAGTGTGAATTATCACAGGGTGAGAAACTGCAAATCCAAAAGCTTTTGTTAGTAATGCACTACTGTGTCATCTAAAAATCAGAGGTGTAACAAAAATATTTATACTGTACCAAATCTAAAGAGCGACTGAATAAAGAGGACCAGGAGAGATTTGTCTGTTTAAAGGAAACATGGTTCAGAGTCATCAGGAAGCAAAGCAGACATTACACAGCAACAGAAGCAAAGTATTTTTCTATAGTAAGCGCCTGTGTTCAGCTCATTACATAGTTTTAACAGCAGCTCATCAAAGCCTGTAGGGCCGAGCTTCTTATCTTCTGGTTCGGACATGGACAGCTACTGACATTACATAACATCCTCATACACGTGCAGGTGGTAGGGGCAGGACAAAGGGCTCTTTCTCTCCAAAAGCTGTTGCACAGCAGAATCACTTTTAATCTTTCAAGGACAATTTTAACATTATTCGGTAGTGAACAAAGGACACCTCCTCAGCACTTGTTAGTGTGTGTTTTGGTGTTTTATCAAACTGGAGATAAACACAAAGAAAACACACACACAAAAATGTATATTTTCCCAGTGAATCCATTAGTGTTACTCAAGTTTTCTTTTCCCTCCATCCACTAAAACTAATTCTGGACTGAAAGTTAAATCCAGAAAGTTAAATCCTGCCAGAAAGACTGAAAACAATCAGGTTTGGGAGTTAATTTTTTAAAATATGCATATACAGGCTTTTCTCAAGTTTAAATAGTTGTATTTGGCTCTTATACCTCCTTTATCTATTTTTTTTTATTCAAAGAAAGTGCAGAAACCCCTTTACCTTGTTTTTACGATCCTGGCTCTGTTCGCTGCTGGTATCGTTGGCAGCATAGGGAAGGCTACTGCTGGAGGAGGAGGGCTCCCTGTCTCTGTCCTTGTCTCCAAACCAAGAGAATGGCATGCATGTAGGGATGGAGGTCATGGAATCTGCAGGGGACAGGTTCCCTCCCGATTCCTCTAGTAACTCTGCAGATCCCCTGCTCATTAGACACGTAGAAACAGGAAGTTGTAGTTTCTCCACTGTATGCAGTTATATGTAGTTAAAAATGTTAAGGCACCCATGAACTGACTGTCATTCCTTTATCATCTGAATGAATTTCCTTTAACTTTATACTGGTATTGTGTTACCTGCTGTCCAAAGATGCTCTCATGGCCTCTTTGTCATGTTTCTTCCCTTTGCCTCCTGACTTCCGGAGACCTCTGTTTGGATCAGTAATTTTCATGCAGTTAGTCACAAAAAAACTCATTAGTGGCTTTAGTGGTAAGCTGCGATGCTTACCCGAAGTCTGGAAATCTTCTTTTAGGCTTTCCTGATGGAGATGGCTCACTTGGCTCCTCTGTAATGAAACGGTTCTCATCATTTCATTAGCACCAAGTGTTTCTGCTTCTGGTGTCATAGGAGGATCTTGCTTACCTTTGAGCTCTTTACCCTTGCCTTTGGACTCTCTCTTCTTCACGTTACGCATAAAACTCGAGGGAGAATGTGGTGAGGAACTGTGCTGCTGAGGAGACAAAGGAGGACTGCTGCTGCTTTCAACACTGTCTCCTTGTGATGGTGACAACGATGGGCTGCTGGACAACTCTGTTTTACTGCTGGAGGCGCCTCTATTCCTGGCTGGATCGTCTTTCTGTTCGTTCCCAGGATAACAAGCGGTGACTGGCAGGGACATGCTCTCCTGCATAGACTTCCGTCTCTTGTCAGGTTCCTGCTCCTCCTGCTCGTCCTCTTCTTCAGTTTCCTGTGAGGACCCAAGCTAATTATTCACAAGGACAATACAAGGAAGAGGGGATTAAAGTTATTTATGCCACCAGAGGTTCTGCTCCTGAGACCTGATGGGCTGTTTTAGAAGTTAGAATAACAGCCTGCTATTGTAAGAGTGGTAAGAAACATTTATAGATGTTTTCTGTTGTAGATCAGAGTCTGTTGGTGAATTTAGACAGATCTGTGTGGGTCACTTACAAAGGTAAATTCTAATCTGCTCATAAACCAGAAAGTTAACATTATGGCTGTGTAGATGAGGGACATTTCAATGGACTCTATGAATGAGTTAATGCTGGAAGATACTTTTTTTGGTAAAACTAATCAGGACATTCAACAGTATCTAGTGCTCGGTCACACCTGGGAGGGACATGAAGTCACAGCCAGGCTCTCCTTCAGCTTGTTCCGGGATGGAGGCTGGCGTTTGGCCTTCTGAGCCAGCTGGCCTTTTGCTCTGTGGGCGCTGGTGTCCAACAGCTTTGTTTCAGGTACCAGCTCACCCCAGTCTTTTTCTACAGAAGAGAGAAGAGAAATGCAGGCTGGTTATCTATTTGACTTAAACGGAAGTGTTCAGCAGTCTGTGATGCTCCTACAGCTAATATTTAACAGAGGATTTTGATTCTAGTTTAAGCAAAGCAAAGCCTAAAGTTTTTAACCCAAACCATATCACTGATGTAACCTTGGCTAAGTCCACATGGTAAACAAACACTTTAAAAAGTGTTTACAACGTGGGATGACTATTCACACACTGCTGCCAGAATATGGGTGTGACTTTCGCCAATGGATATCTCCATATGAGGAGGAGCGAGGAGCAGAGGCAGGGCCTTCGCATTGGACACCCACCAATACTGAGCTGCAGCCAGAGATGTTTGGCTGCAGCTAAAGATGTAGAGGCTGTGTTATTATACAGCTTATAGATGAGGTACTAGCTTTATTATGAACTGAACTATCAAAACCAGATCAACATTCTTTTAATCTGGTTTGTATTTTTGATCGGGATAAACATTTCCCTATAATTTATCCAAGAGTCCAGCATTCCAGAGAGTTTACAGTGTTCATTCAGTGTCATTATTTCTGAACTGGTAGCATACCTGGTTAACCTGATACAGTTATGTTCTGATAAGTCACAGTTCAGCAGAAAACTATTTCTCTGCCTGGAGATGATAACAAACATTTAGGTTTATTACATTCCAAAGCGCTGCCAGCTTGAGCCTGCGCCTGATTTCTACCCCCTGACACACTGCTGACAGCTTGCTTCTCACGTTCTCTGACATTCCCAATAAAAAAAAAATCGGTTTAAAAGATCAAAAACCTTCCCCAAAGATACTTTGTAATTTCACTTTCGTGGCCCTCTGTACCTAGCAGTGAGTCAATGGATTGTGTGTTAGTGACGGAGTCTTGGCTGCTTAATCTCTCCTCTGCAGCGGAGCACTGACCACTCTGACATTCCACCACTGAAGCACCTCTGGACTCCAGGACGGCTATCTGTGCAAAGAAACAGTCACACTCAGGCTTGTTCCAGTGTCTCCAGCAGGTCTGCAGGTGTACAGGCTTTCATTTTCTGACCTGGAAACTTACCCTGTTCTGCAGGATCTCCAGCTGCTCCCTGTACCACTTGTCTTTTTCATCGAGCGCTTTTTTCAGCTCCTCCTCTTTTTTCACAAAGTCAATCTCTCTGAGGGAAAAACAACAACAAAGAATTGGGAAACATGTCAAGTGGTGAGTGAGTAAGTGGTGAGTAAACATCTTAATAACTTAATATGTACAGTACTCTTCATCAAAAATAATATACAACTATACAAATGACACGTCTGCGGATGCTCTGTTAGCGCAGGACAAGCCAGAATGTTTGTCCTTCAACCAGACACTTTTTTTAGATGAATGCAGCTTTTCATATTCAAGCATACACAATTCAGGTCTTTGGTTACAAGCTTACTACTTTCCACTAAACAAAGCAGCTATGTTGCTCATTGCAGTGTGACTCAGGAATCTGAACAACCATTCCAAATGTAGTCATTCGTATGAGCAGCACGGTGACCAAAGCTATCTAGACTCCTTCACATATTTGCAACAATTCTTGTTGAAGTCTTTGCTGGTAACAATACTGCCAAATACCAAGTCCACTCACACTCAAGAAGCAACTGAAAACAGCCTTTGCTGTTTTGATATACTGTACATTTAAGTTCCTATGTCCTAAGTTCCTCTTTAACTTAAAGTTGTTTTCATATGCACACCAACAGTAATCTGAGATGTGAAGTCAGTAAACCCCTAACATCACATCTAGTTAAACTAAAGACAAACTCACTTTTGCTGGTAGTCCTTGAGCAGTTTCTTGGCCTTGTTGTACTTCTTGTCCAGGTTCTCATACTGAGTCTGAGTTTCAGATAATTGTTCATTCACACTCTTACACACAGCTTGTGCTTCCAGCCAGTAATTCTCCAACTTTAGGATCTTTTCATTGTTATCCTCAATTCTTTGCACCAGTGCAGATTCCCTTGCCTCCCACATTGACTTCTCCTCCTCCGATTCCCTCATCTGCACAGAGATGGTGACACATGAATATAATTTGCTTGGCAGATGGGCTGCTGACTGCCAGACAGTCTGTGTGCTGTTTGGAATTAAGTCATCCTTTCAAACATCTAGGTCACACATTCTGTCAACGTGTTCAGTTTGAGCCTTTTTTCAACAGAAAGTAAACAATTCAATCTTTATACCTCAAAGTTGTGTATATTTGTGTAAATGTCCTCTGAACAATCACCTAACATTAAAATTCTGATTGAAGAAATTTTTTTGGAAACAAAACAAACAAAAAGTATCAATGATACAGTACCTTTTCCTTCAGTTGATTGATTTCAGAGATGGCAATACTGTGTGTGAGCTGCAGCTATGGGAGACAATCAAAATAAAGTACACTTATATCACTTTCAATTTGTTAAATGGGCAATGCAAAACAAGGGTTAAATAACCAAATAAAGATGTGTTTCACCTCTTTGAACTTAAAGGCCATCTGAGAGCTGTTCATGTTGGCTGGCATGAACATGGCCTCTGAATCAGGAAGCTCAAACACATCAACATTTCGTCCAGGAGAAAAATTGGATCCGAGAATCCTTTCTGTTACTCCATCCTCGTCTTCCTCCTCCTCATACCGCTCCTCCTGAAATCAGATGTCAAACTTTAATTCCCTTCTTGCGATCATTCAGCCCCACGGACATGCTCAGCATCACAATCAGACATTAGTGGGCTTGCCTGCAGGAGACAAAGCATAAGTCTTAAAACACATTTTTAGTAATTCACTCTCTCTAAATAAGATCCATCAGTACAGTCTTTGCATCGTGCTAAAACACAAGTCCACTTCCTCACTGATAGTTGCTCCTTTTTGTCTGCTTAAGTAAATCCTATTTGTTCCTTGCACGGTCTCTGGATTGCAAAAGCAGAGGCTTGTGGTAGATTGAACTTCAGTAGGCTTCAGCAAACATTTCACAACTCTGGCAGACAGATGGCAGCTGAATGAACATTTTCCAGCACAGCAGAGTGGTGACACATGGCTTACTCACAGCCAGCTGCTAATTTCCTGGTTGAGCATGAGTGGGGTTGGACTGGGAGTGGCAAAGGGGCTAATGCTGTGTACATGCCATATCAGCATTATCAAAATAACAAGTTTCAGACTAAAACCATTTTTCCCCTCTGGGGACCATGATGTCCCACATAATATACTTATCATTATTTATGAGTGTGTGAACATTTGCATGTCATCAGCATTGGAATCTTTTGTTTTTCTCTGCAGTGCAGCATAGCTCTGAGAAATGACCGACTCCTTCAGCCTTCATGACCACAGACTCACCTCTTCTGTAGAGTGTTCATCCAAATGTTGTTGCAGCTGGTTCTTTTCCTGCTCCAGAGTCTCACTTATGAGGCGGGCTACCTCACTCTGAGTACCAGGCTTCTCCCGACCAATTAGGAACCTGTGATTTGTGATGGTGATTTAGAAAAGCATTCAATAAGTTGCTTTGATATCTGCCACTGAATAGCTTTTCATGTCTAGACCTAACAGGATAAAAAAATTAAAGAAAGAAAGGAAGAAAAATTAACTATTTTTACATAATGTGTAATCACTTACTTCACTGTGCCTTTAGTGTTCTTTAAGACTGTGGCAGCAAAGAGTTGGGTGACTCCCACCAGACTGATACCATCCACCTCAACTATTTGGTCATTCACCTGTATCCTGGAGAAACAAAATATTGCGTAGGGAGGATTTGAAAGGGTTTATTTAGGTGAGGCATGCACCTGCCTTTAGCAGAGTACATACTGTAAATACAACTGCTTCAATGCAGCTGACGAGAAAGAAATAGAAAACTATTTTTCTCAGGCATTCATCTAAGATTAGAAATAAATAAGGTTGCTTGTGCTGTGTGTCTCCTGAGGGATAAGGAACTTCTTGAAGCCCCGAACCATGTTTGTGTCTGCTGTGCTTCTGGTTCTTCAAACTACATTACAAGACACAGGAGCCTGAAGTTTAAGATCCTGCAAAATAGTTTTTTTTAAACCACAAACTCACCGGCCGTCTCTCTCAGCAGCTCCCTGCTCAGTTATAGTTTTCACAAAGATACCAAGCTTCTCCAGACCTTGGTCGGCTCCCACTCCCATTCCTATGATACTGATACCAAGTCCATTTTCTCCTGGTAGCAGACAAGCAGTGCAAATTTTAAAGTGAGCATTAGAAGATGAAGCACAATGAATATTCAAGATTTAAACATGAAAAAATAAGCACATTTAAAATTCAAATGATATAGAATTAAATAATAATAATGTTTTTTTTAAAACTTGATTTGCCGCTTAATTTACCAAACCTACCTTTCTCAATCTCCACAGGAAAAACATCCATCTTCTCCACTCTCTTCTCCAGCTCATACTCAGCAGATGCTGCAACCGGGTCAACGTCATCATTCCGACGGTCGTATTCTTCATTTGAAAAAGTGCTGAATACCTGAACAAAATATATGACGTGTTAATCCAGTTTCTTTGACCTTACTGAGGAATTAACAGGCATGTAATGGAATACTACGAATTTCTATAGACTGGTATTAATAGAATGCACATTCCATTTTTGTTTTTTTATTAGTTTAAAAAGGAGACATCCTTGGTCTGGCTAACACTGAATGGAGTGGGAGAATTTCACTCATACTTTAACTTTTCTAGGAAGCGGTGCATTACTAAAGCTCATTTCAGCAGCTGCTATGGAACAGATGATGCTTTAGACTGTCAACGCTAATATTCCCTCTTTCATTCATTAAACATTTAAAGCTGCTTAATGTTCAGTTATCCATCTGTGAGGACTTTTATGACGGATTTAAATGTCAGTCAAAGTGAGGAAGAGGACAGGTTTCCAGAATAAGCCTCCTCAAGATTTAAGGTGTGAAGTTTCTCAAACGGCCTGTCCTCTGGTTGCAATTACAAAGTGAACAAATCTAAAACAGAAGATCATGAGCAGTGTGGAAAGTAGGGCACAGCTGGGAAAGCTAAGCAAAGATAAATAATTTGGAGGCAGCAAGAAGAGTCTAGTATAATAAAAAAAAGACAGGAAAAAAGACAAAAACTTAATCAAATCATCCTTCAGTCAACAGGCAGTTATTTACCTTGAATACCCACTGATTAGATACCAGACTATCCCTGTCTCAGAAATCAATCTGGAAAACATGGGAGTGCTAGATCTCTTGCTTGTCGAGCCACGTAGCACACACACTCGTTTGCGAAGCTATAAATGTATTCAGCACTATGAGCTCATAGAACACATACGTTCAAATAAAACAGCAAAGAAGAGAAACAAGAATATTATTTTAGTTTTACAGCAGTAAAAAAAATAAAAATAAAAGTCCAAACAGGACCCTGTAGCAAAGGTGTGCGAGTGTGCTGTTAAAGCTTCATTTCTCCCTTTTGTTGTGGCTTAACTGTGTCTCTCATGCAATGAAGCTCAGAGCTACTCTTTGGACACATTTCCAGTAGACAGCCAACTAATTTGTCTAATCTTCCCTGTACTTTAAACCAGAGTGGAAACACAAGCAACCACCATCTAAAGCAATTGCTGAGTTCCTTTAGAGATGTCCCTGGGGGTTTGAGGAATGAGCTACTTTTGGTTTAAATGCAGCTATAGAGCAACACACCTTTATCTCAGGGCTAAGATGACAAACCGTTTCAAATACAGCACTTAATAGATAGTTTTAGATTTAAACTTTCCCTTTAAAAACTGCCAAAAATGCATCTGTAATGAGATCAAATTTAACATGGCAAGTTTAAGATTAAAGCCTCTCCCTGGGCAGCAAAGATATACTTCCAATCAATGCTTCTTTCAAAGAAAGTGTTGACCGTATGAACAAATACAGTCCTGCGTGAAAGTGGCGCATAATGCTTCAAAGTACACCGCCAATGATCTGGATGTGACGGCTTGATGGCTGCAGAGGGGCGAGAGCTGCCTGGAAGATTTTGCCACAGCATACCGTGTGTTGACTGAAGCCATTCTCACACATGCACCGTATTCCTTGAATTTTCCAAAAGACGTTCCAGACACGCAGAGTATTAAAAGGCCCACGCCTGCTGCATTCACTCTAGAGACTTTCCCTTATTCCTTGAGGTAAGATCTATGGAACATTGTAAAATAAGATAAAGTGGGAGAGTCTACAACATCCAGTTCAGAGTTCAGACTTTGTTTCTTTTGACCTGTATGTTGCTTTTGATTCACTCTTAGCTATCATGGATGAGTTCAGATACACCTGGTATAAACTAAAACCCCAACAGTCTCCTTTTTTCATGGAGACAAGAGCCTCCTCTGTGCTATGGACACCCCCGCCCTGCCCTCTTCCTTTACAACATTTCTGGTTGTGAGGTGCTGAGCCCATCGTCAGCTTAAAAGGTCCCACAACTAAATCCAGACCAAATGATTTCTAAACAAAATCGACAAAATGATGACGTTAACCCACTAATTAACTAATAGTATTGCATCTTAAACAAAAAAACTGAACTAACTGGAAATGTTGATTAGTAGATTAGAGTTCAGCAGACTCCATCGGGAGCTAATGCCCGATTACAGGGATGAACCCCACAGAGGGGCAGCAACATAAATCCTCAGCCTGGTCATTGTTAGTCCCTATCTGGATGGTTATGATGACAAAAGCATTACAAATATTTTTAACACACTCCACATCAACAAAAATCCTATCCTATAGAACTCTACACTTATCCATCATATAGACAACTATGTATTTTCTCCAAACTACAAATACACACAAAGCGCATTTAACTTGCGAATATTAAGCTGGCAAGCCATTACGTTTATTCCAACTGAGCAACAGTGGATACCAGAAAAACAAATCTGTTTCCAATGGATTGGTTCAGCGCTTCATTAACAAATAAAAAATACATAAACAAACAAAGCCACAATGATGGAATTAGACCGATACTGATTGAGACATATACCGTCAGGTTGCATGATGTAATCAAATAAACATTTCCACTGTAGGCAATAGCCTGAGGTCTCCGTCGAACAGCATGTCAAGACTTGAGGAATACACCACAAACAACCTCCCTATTTCACTGTCTTTCTGCCTTCTCACTCTGTAGCTTTTGGATGAAGCTCAAAACAGGACTGATAGTAAGTTTCCAGAATAACTCACTAAGAGGTTTGTTCAGTCTGTCAAAATGAATTACTCCAACTACTTCAAAGAAAACATTAGACAAAGTCTTCTGAGGACTCATTCTGTGTTATCTGATAAAAAAAAAGGATGTGGTTAAGCGCTCTCCTGTAGGTACCCCAGTAATGTAGCAGGTAACTAAGGAAGACACTGGCTGAGTGTCGACTCCATTACAGCCCTGCAGTTCAGACAGGAATGCTATTCATGGGGCCTCAATCCTTCATCAACCTGTCCGTTATAGATTCTTTCAGCGTGCTGTCAAAGTGAACAGAATATTTATATATTCTCCTTTTAATGTCATTGAAACTTACAAGTCTGATACACAGTCAATTCTAGCAGATTTCTAAACCACTGAACCACCTTTTTTTCTTTGCTCTATATCGTTTTCACCAAGGAAGCCAAACATCTATGCAATGGTAGCTGTTCTGCCAAGTCCCTGACTGGAGCTGCCAGTAGCTGCTGCCACAGTAAGTTCAGCACTGTTAAAACAACACTGTGCACAACAGCAGCAAACCTCAACAAGTGCCTAAGTTGTAACTGTAGGAGTTCCAAAGAGCCCCTTTCTAACTTTTTAATCACAGCATGCCTTTTAGCTGATAACTTGCTGCAGTGAGTGCTGACAGAAAACAGACTTAGGATTTTTTTGCAGTGAACAGTAACTAACTTTATATACTTATCAATAATAAGATAATAATAACTATCATTAATTTATTATTACTTTAACCGTATAGCTTTCGAGACAAATTGTACCTCATTTGCATACACAACCTTAGATCTAATGCCAAATTTAGGCAGACCAGTTCTCACTTCAGGACTTAATGGCTTTCAGGGATACCTGAAAATGCTTCCACAAATAAGTGCAACAAAGCTGTTTTCGACTTGAAACAGTTAAAAATGGATTCACAGAACTAGAGCAGACAAAAATGTCATCAAGGATGTAAGATGTCTATGAGTTTAGACTTTGGAGACTTTAGTAATTAAATGTTGAAAATGTAGGCTAATAGAGTACAGTCTGCACTTCTGCACCCTGTCACATGGCATTAACCGTTTTTCTCCCCCTTACCTTCCCTTGATCTCTCATGTCTGTGCTAACTGTTGCCATGGACGACCAGGCCTTTTTCAAACAATGTTCCGCTCTTTGCTGAAACCCAATCACTGTACTGCTGTCTTGTTTGCAAAATGGACAGAAATCAATCTGTTCATTAGACTTAAAAACCTCAATATAAAGTTTAAGTCACTGTTCTGGTACAACAAAAGTCCTACAAAAAGTTTAGATGAAAAAAGAAATGATCAGACTATGAAGAACCAATAATTTCTCATCAAGTTTACAAGTTTTTTCTCAGGCCCAATTTTCTCCCCAAAGTGCTCATGTTGATCCCCGGGCCTCGTTAGTCATCTCCTTTCCATTCCTTCCAGAGACATAGCTCTCAATGAGATGTGTGGGCTCTTCATCTGTCTGCAGAGTCTCTCTACTCTTTGTAAGCTCAAATCCACAAATGTACACATACCCACACCCAAAATGAAACTCTTTCCATTTTTCCCTCATTCCCCTCCATACGACAAAATACCAGTGTGGGAAATGAGTCAGCAGCTCAGGGGGAAAAACAAACCAGAGAAATCTCCAGCCACTGAAAAAAAAAACACATGCTGACCACTGGATTTGGGAACTTGTAACGTAAACTAGCTCACAAAAAAGGACAATGAATCAAAACATGCTGTGAGAATGAGCAGGGGCATGGGTGTCAGCCAGTCCAGACCATAGAGTAATTTGGAGAAAAAAAAGGCATGATACCCACAGGTATTCTGTGAATTATGAAAAAAGAGATAGAGTCTACACCAACATACCGTAAATGATAGATAAAGTGGATTATAAGACAACACATCAGCAGAGCAGACCTAGGCGGCGTATACCAATAGCATTTTTTCACTAATGAGTCTGGAATATTTTTTCTTGTAGAAACAAAGTCCAGCGTCTTCCTCCTTATTAAGAGAAGAATAAGCATTTCATCATATTTTGCTTTTTTAAAACTCTCTCAGATTTAAGTATTTGCTCAAATTTGATTATTTGCTCCGTTTTTATTTTAATTGATTATGACACTCTTGTTATAAGATTTGTCAAAAAAACTAAAAATGTACATCAAAAGTCAAATGGAAGCACAAATATGGTCTGAAATGTCAGAAACATAATCCCTTTCATAAAAAAGAGACAAAAATTCAAGCAAAAGACATTTTCCTCACAACAGTCATCTTAATCTAAATTAAACTGTAAACAGTTCTGACCTATATTTTTTAGCAGGTTGACCTACATCTTAGCTAATTTCCAATCCTATGACTAGATCAGCATCATAAAATTATGTCCAGTGGGAGATGAAAATTCAAAACATTACTCTATATCAGCTATGATAAGCAATACAACAAAGATCCGGTTTCCATTGCTTAAACATCAGCTTTAATGTAAAACCAGGGAGAGGTGGCATCAAATTTCCAAAGCAAGTGCGCTACATAAACAGGTTCAACAGGTTTTGTCTATAAATGGATGACAAAAGATATTTTTGTCTTTGCCAGAGCTGCTAACACATTTTACTTCTGGTTAAATTGCATGATATTCTCAGATGAGTTAAACAGTTTAAAGCAGCTGCAGTCAGCCTCAGACTTATCTCATACCAATCTGTTTAATGAATAGCATTGAACTGACTGCATCAGTATTCTGCTCTGTCCCGTCACCATCTCTCCCAGGTGGCTGAAAGAGACTCAAACCCTCTTTGCTGGTAACATGAGGGTGGAGCTAAGTCAGGCACATTCCTCGGCAGATGACCCGTCTCAGCAAGGAAATGAGCAGCATAACATGAAACATTAACCACAGAGGACAGAAACTAAATATTGAAATATGCCTTTGTGCTTTAAGTCATCATAAAATAGATATGGAGGTAGTTTTGTCCTGTTGAATTTAAATAAAAGCTTACAAAATATTGGAAACATCAAAAATCTTCTGCTTTGTCGAAACTGCACCCAGCGAAAAAACAGGTAAAATGTTCACAGACAATGAACTAAAGATGACTTTTTTCCCTTTAAAATTAAAAAAAAAAAATTAGCATGTGGGAAGCCAACCTGACAACAGAAAGCTATGCTTAAAAAGAGGTCATGAGAGCAAACATGCTTTACAATCTTTGACCTCGCCCTGTTTTCTGCTTTGCCTTGCCTGGTCACTCGTCTGAAGCCACCTGTAGGTGCTTCCTGTAAATGTGTGGGGGTTGGGCAAACTACCCGATGGTCGTGGTAATGATAACTTTCGATTTTCGTTCACCCTTTCTTCATGTCATAGGTCATGCTTATATATATATATATATATATATATTGGGCCAACTTCTTTATACCTACAAGATAATTGCTCTGAAAAGGACATTGCAGCCTTTGTTCACTAACAGATAACACGCCTTTCAGCAGGAAGTGCTAATCATTTAATAACTTGGTTATTTCACTATACTACAAGGTGCAGAGAAACTGAGGCCCAGCTTAGTTGCACACCTACAAACTACTGACAGTATTTTGTAACAGCCCCTGAAAGTAATGATAATAATGCAACAATTTAATATATATGGAATTTCTAAGTTAAAATATTTCTTTCTATATTCCATGTTTTGAGAACATAGAAAAATACATTTAACAGCACAAAAAACGTAATATTTGGCTCAACTGACCCAGATACCTTTATACAAATTTCCCATTTTGTCCCCCGATAAGTGATACATTTTGAAAGTGGATGTCTCCTCTCTACAAAGAAGACGCCCCCCACAATTGGGTTACTTGAGGGATTAATCCTCTTGTGAGCAAGCAGCACAAAGCTTTCTTCTCTCATAATCATCTAGCTATGCATTTGATTTCAGCGTCAGCTCTGACCAATAGACTATGGAAAATGCAGTGCTGTTGGTGGCATGCTTTGGTTAGTAAGGCCACAGGTAGAGACGGTGGCTGAAGGCACTCTGTCAGACTAAACACTCCTACCACCTAACCTTGAACCCAAGGACATAATACTGGCCCATAACAGGATTTTACAACAGCTGTGTGCCCTTTCAAGCCTGCACAACACACTACAGTTTTCTTTCAACAGAGTGAACCAGAATTGGTTTTAGATTTGTTATTAAATCAGAAGAGCCACTGAGTGGACCTTGAATGGCAGGAACATTATTCTTTTGAAGAATTCTTAAGAAATATTCTAACTCTACGATGAATTAATCCTACACTCTATTTTTTTTACCGGTAGTTATGAAAAGTTTGTAAGGAAGCCAGTAAAGTGCAATGTCGATGATCGACTGTAAAGTTTCCATCTGTTATAGGTCAACCGTAGGCTAAAAAAAAGCCCACTGCTGTTTGTGTCCCTTTCCCTTTAGGTCACGTCAGCTTCTGGTCCCCTCTCTCAGGACCCCCTGATGTCTGGGATGGCAATGGGTGGGGGGGGCATACACACCCTGAGATAACACCGCATTTTACATCCTGGATAAACACAGAGCTGCTCACGAGCTGTGTGGAATGCACGGGAGTGATTTGTTTTCTCTGCTTTAGCTAAATGTTGATTAGATATGGTCATGGTGGAACATTGGTAGTGGAAAATATTGCTAATTCAACAACACCCTTAAAATACAAGCAGATATTTTTTTACAGTTGAATACATGACATGAAAACTAAGATTGAAGATCACAGATATTCTTGAGCACATATTCTAGTGCCTTTTTTCTGTGACAGTCTAATACCCGAGCTGTTGACAGTAATGTTTGCTGCCCCAAAGGTAATGTTAAAGACAACAGAAGCATCTTAGCACGAGTCACCTCCTTGAAAACACGCCTGAGGACAACATATAGCCAACATCTGCTACTTGCTTTAAATACATTAAAACTTGACTAAAATAGCAAGAAAAATACTGCTAAACTGTTCAAAATAAGCATGCAAGAGGAGGGAAGATGTTCAATAGCTATTTAGTTATTAGATTTTTAGATATGCATACGCAGAGTGGCAATGGGAAAACTGGGTCTTGTGTCTGAGAAAGTCATTTAAAAAAATTGTACATAAATGCGGGGGAAAATCAAGCAGATAAAACCGGTGACGACAACACAAAAAATAAAACTGAAGCAGTAACTCTTAATGGCGTGCACATTTGCACCCTCTAAATTCTTAGAATTATCAGCTGCACTCCTCTAAATAGCGTAACATAATTCTGTGGAACAGGCTGTAGAAAAGCATCCAGATCCTCCATGAAACTTCTTTAAAATTTTAAGCCAGTGCTGCATTTGGGTAAACAGATTAAATGTGCGAAAGCACAGGTTCAAAGTGGCTATGATTCTGTTCTCTGTATTCTAAAGTTTCCCATGTCCACCTCACTACATCCCATTTTCAGCTGTTGTCCCACGATCATATGTTCTTTGCTCAGTCAACAGTATTTACAAAAATACCACAAAAACCTCACAGCCTCTGGCCTCTAAACTTCTCTCTACTCTCTTAAGAGATTAAGGAGATAAGCTGTCAAACTACCTGCCTTGCTGTTTAACAAGATTGTATTAGTCCTGGTTTGGGTTATTTTCTGAAAAGCTTGTCTGATGATATAGTGCAGCAGCTGTGACGTGAATATGCTAGACAGCAACGTTCATTCTCATCTTCCACTAATCTGTTTTGTGTCTGCAGTGAACGCCCAGGTCAGACACCAGTGCTGAGTCAGTGAGCTTGTGGTTTATAATGAAGGTACAGCGCAGAATGTTTTAGGTGTTTCATCAGCATTTCAATTACAACCCAAAATACTTACCAAAATGGGATCCGTGGAGAACTTGATTTTTCTCTTTGAAGGAAGTTCGTCCTCATCTGACAGACCGGGAGCCTCGTAACAGTCATCATATTCCCTATCCATATATTCCTCCTCATAATCTTCTTCGTCCTCCTCCTCCTCCTCCTCCCTAAGGACCTGGTCTACATCTCTGTCATCCACAAATGCTGCATTTTCAATACCATACACTACTGGAGAGGCCCGATCCAGAGCGCTCTGATCCACCTGCTCCTCCAGTGCAGCCTCCTCTTCCTCCTCCGCTGTCTCATCATCTTCACAGTCCTGGTTCAAAACTAAATAGTCTTCCACTCTCTCTTCTCTCAGCACAGTTTCGTTATTATCCTCAAGAACTCGCCCCTCATCCACAATGTCTGTTACCTTTTGTGCTTCTTTTGTGGTTTCTTGTGATGCGAGCTGGTGAGCTTGGTTAACGCTCTGCTTATCTGGCGGAAAAGTTATTTTCGGGTAGTTCTGGCATCTCCCTTTCTGCTCCTTAAACACATCCTCTTCATTGTTCTCACCCTCGTTCTCCTCACTATCTGAGGACTCATTTTGAACGACTACCAGTTCAGCCCGTACCATGCCCGCCCCTTTGGAATGCAGCGATGAAGTCTGGCTGGAAGGTTTGTCCGCAGTAGGGCTGATAATTACATTGTCATTACTCTCAACTTTTTCAGAGTATGATGCTCGGTTGGCGTTCTGTTTTGCATCCCTTGGGGGTGGACTACAGGGTTTGCCGCCATTCCCACTAACAGATGTTCGAATAAACCCATCCACAGAGGAGTACTTGTAGCCATGGCTAATGGGGATGGATTCCTCTTGTGTGAGTTTGTGACTATCATCAGTTGTCAAGGAAACAGGTTTTGATGGTGGAAATGTTGATTTCAACCCCAAATTTGACCCCAAAGATGCAGATTTGCTGTCTTTATTATTCCTGTTGGCATTGGTTGAAGAGTCAGGGGTTTCTTTTACAGGAGAAGTAGCTTTGTATAAGCTGTCTCTTGCTGGAGAAGTTGGCTGAATGTGCTCCGTGGTACTGGGTTGTTTAGCAGAAACCATTCCTCCTTTCCCGGCAGTTGTGTTGTTGTCTTCCAAATCATTCTCAACTATGTAATTTTCCAACCGTTTTGACATTGGCCCTGCATTCAGCGACACTCTAGACGTGTGCCTTTTTTCACCATCAGCCATCTCATCTGAATGGCTCTTAGCTGCTGGTACGTGAGTTTGCTCAGATTTGATAGTGGCCTCTAAGCACCCCGATACCTTCTTTTCACTTTTTCCATCATCAGAGGCACTTCCAAGGGATAAACGAGTTACTACTCTGCTTGGAGATTGCTTCTCAGCTACAGGCTGCTCTTTGATGCCCCTTTCAAATAGTTTTCTGGTTACAGAAAACTTCTCTGCCAAAGCCACTTTGTCAATCTCAACATCTTCTCCCTTGGGTGTTTTATCTAAATTATGCGATTCAGGGCTTGAAGAGCTGTTGAAGTTAACTCTGTGAGTGTTGACTGGAAACTGCATCTTCGGAGGAGAAACCTGTGGGAGATCAGTCTTTAGAGCCACTTTCCCCTCTTGGCACTCCTGCTGTTGACCATCCATTTGTAGGAATATGTTCTTTATTTTGTTCACTCTGGTTCCAAAAGGCCTCCCCCTTGAGTCCTCCCGGCTGTCACTTGATCCATTTGCAACTGTTTTAGATGCACATTCGGACTTTGTCCCATCAAAGGTGCACTTAATGGTGTGGAAGTCAGACTTGTAGGCATTTCTATGAGGGGACGCGCTTCTTAGGCTCCTCTCTCCTCCTTTGCTTTCTGCTTTTATCATCTTGACTGTTATGGCAGCAGTACAACTGAGATAGGTCGGCTTTTTGGAACTGTTAAGATTTGGAAGGAGCAAATACTATGAGACTTATGCAACCGGTGCCATGGGTCCGGCGGAGGCTTTCTGGTGAACTCTTGTCTCAACTCAAGCACAATAATCTAAAAAAACAAAAACAAAAAGTCTTAATACTTCCACACGAAATCTTTGTGCCATTATTCCAAAAGTAAGGTTACTTGTTCAATACAAGTTGGACGTAAAATATGTTTATATGCTTCAATAAAAAAAACATTCTGTAACGTTCAGACACATTTTAACGTTCATTTAACTGAATGCTGGCACGCAGCTTTGGAGGTTGCCGTCGCGTGCACAGCCGTTTGTGTGCATTTGGAGTTGTCTAACTCCTAGCGTAGGCTAGCGACAGTCCAAACTTGTTCTGCTCAAAAGTAACTTCCATTGTAGTCTTTTGTTGTACTTAAATAGGCCGGTTAAACTTAATTAGTGCAGTCCATGATACCAACCACTGACAAAAATAGTAAAACAAAGTTCAACTTATTCGGCCGACAGTTCAATAAGCCTGAACCTTGGTATCTCACTCTCTGCGGTTCATTGTGGCATATCAAACACGGACCGTTCAAACGTTAACACTAGTTCAATACACACCACCGCTCAAAGGTGAACAACTTTCTAAGTCTCTCACCCAGTTGCTTCATCGTTTAGGGCGCCGAAATATCGTTCAGGGTCCCATTTGTAAAGTATCAAACTTGTTCCTTCTTCTTGCTCACCGCCATCATTCCCCGCTCCAGCAGCGATTCCCTGCCTCCTCTTTGCACTTCCAGACCTGCCGCGGGCTGCGCGCGCACCAGAGACTGCCTGCTCTGCGCGCCCCCGCCACTGACGACGACGGAGAGTTCGGACGCGCGCACACATTCCAGGACTGTAACCCACTACTCTTCTCTCTTCGCACTGTTTCCTCACAGTTCACTTACACGAGGAATTATGGGAGAAAAGCGTGGGAACAAGAACTCACCTAGACCTCTGGACAGACAAAAGCCCACTCCTAGAAACACCAGAACCTCTTTTAAGGGAAATTATTTACCCTTTAAATGTTATGCAACCACAACTGCAAAAGGTTAATTTTCAAAAGAAAGGGCCCCTTCCTTGCAGCCTTGTAACTAGTCTATGCAATTGTCTCACTATAGTTATGACTATTAGTGAAATGTGTTGCACATTAAATCCAATTCATCTCTTTCTGTATGTGTATCTTACCACTCAGCCCGTAAAATAGTTGTAAAGCCTCTCAAGTCTGCTTTTGCTTTATAGTTTGGCTTGTGCTCGAAATGTGAAACAAAGCCAAGTTGAAACATGAGGTGAATCAAACTGAAGGTGCAGAGCATATGTCTTGAAATGTGCAACATAGTTTGTGTGCAACATAAAAATGGTAAAACTCATTGTTTGTTTGTTTTTCCAGTCATGTTATTTTTAGGTCTACCATTACCTCTTTTGTGTTAATGATTCTTGTTTACTATTTCAAATTCATGTGTTACTCCGATCAGCTATCTTATGTGTGGGAGGAAGACTTGGTTAGACTGAACAACAGGTCAGGTCAGATCAATGTCACAGAGCCCTTTGTTTTGGTCTTGGATTGATTGGCCTTTTGCCCTTAAACAAATGGAAAAACATGCAATTTGCAACACCAACTAGTTAAATCAATGCTTTTGTTTTTAACCCTTGTGTACCCTTCTTGGGTCATACGAACCCCAGGATTTATTGAAACCAGAGGTAAAAATGTCACAAGGGAAACACAATGGTTAAGGCATCTTCCTGGGTCATAGGTTCCCCCTGTCATAGCCAGGAACATCTTAATGAAACAGTTCACTTGAAAATGGTCATCCTAGCACAATGAATTAACATGTACCAAAAGGCCTTTTGTTCTGAAAATATGAAGAATGCACAGCTGCTAGAAAGGTGTAACCATCTGGTTTATAGGCAGGTTTCTAACTATTCACCAAAGCATATAGCTTTTTCAATATAAAGAAAACATCACACAGGAATAGTTTACCAAGGCGCAAATGAAAGGATTTACCATGTGGAAAACAGCTGCAGAGTAACTAAACACCACCTCATTAATGTTACCCAAAAAGCAGTCTGTGCAGAAATAGTGATTGCTGCTATAGAATAACTTAAAGCAATTTCAAGTTTACCTACTGAGGGTGTATGTTTCATGACCTCAATAAAAAACAGGTCACCTGCAGAAATCCTACATCCACTATACACCGGCTCCAGTTGTGAATTTGGGACATTTATTTAAATCAATTCAAAACATCAGTTCAAGTAATTCCACATTGAAATTTTTACTTGTAATTTAAAGTTATCCCCCAAGACAACCTGAAGCATGTTTTGAGTTGACTTTTGATATGCATATGTGACTTCTACCATGTTAAGAAAACTGGTTAAAACAGAAAACAAGGACCATTTTTTGAGGTCTGCCACAAAGAAACCAAGAGACGGTATAGTTTGATTTCCTCAGTGGCTAAGAACCTACATTGCAAAAATACCATCCAGTCAAACTGACCTAGGAAACACATACTGTATCTTTTGGGAAAAGATACATTTTCCTTTCTAGTTACATGCTTATCCATTGAAAATGAGTTTTTAGTGTTAGCTTCTTTATTTATTTATTTTTTAAATAAGAAAATACGATTAACCTTGATGGCTTTCAAATCCAATTTTGTAAATTAAAAAAACATATCAGGGGCAAATCTTCATACATTTTGAACACAGAGTTTATAATCATATCCAAAAGTATTCAACAGGCTTTATGTATTGAATTGGAATATGGGTGGTAATTATTGCTTAACAGAAACCAGACTGTGGCAAGATCCTTGAACAGATGGTGATCTAAATATTTGGCACTTTTTGTTGGAATTGTCATCCTTTTAAGTTGCCTTAGGAGTTATCCCATTTACAATTTTAATTGGACAAAGCATGAAATATTGAATACCCAGCACCCACTATTACTCTGAACTGAAGATTTTAAGAGGACATTATTGTATTTGGTGCATGTTCAGGCCATCATTATAAACTGTTGTCTTAAAGCTTTCAAAGAGACATCACTGGAAAAGTCCCAGTCCTCAGGCATTTCCTCTGAAGTTATCTGCCCTCACATTCCATTTGAGACGTGGTTATCTGATATGTAAATTCTTATGTAGCTTCTAATAGCCTCTCACATGTATATAGTTCATGTAAGCTCTTCTTTGTTACTGTACAATGCAGTTTTCAAAGAAGCTTACTTGTTTTATGTGCATCAACTGACATTTTGACCAATGCAGTGTCAAAACTCAGGGGGGCACCAATCTCTGATCATGCTGCTTGCAAATTAGGGTTTCAAAATGGTCGTTCAACTGGAAAAAACATAAACAGCTTGATGGAAGTTTAACCCTGTGCACACTGTATAGTCCTAAAGGCACAAGCTCCCAGCAGTCTCTTCACGTGCTTGAGATAATTTGAATTTATGCTTGGCGCACACGTGCATGTGTCCACTTATTTACCATTTCAAACTTGCAGGAGCTAATCTCCTAGCAACTGTGGGTCTGAGAAGCCATGCAGTCGGGGAGCTCGGGAAAACATCACAGCCAAGTGGTCCCTATAGCAACGTGTCAAACAGCATAGAGGGAACAGAAAAAAAGGAAAAGACAATCCGCTCAGGATAGTCAGTGGAACCTTTGAGACAATGTCTGACAATCTGTCTGACCAGCCACTACCACTAGAACATTTACCTCTACACCTGTTAAATATTTTTTGGCAACATATAGCTGATAAACAGTCTGCTGATTGAAAAATGACTGTTTACACATCAATTCCAGTCCAATTTTTCTAAATCTTGATACATCTGTAGGTAGCTGTTAACAGTTGATGCTCCGCAACATGACAAAAATATATGCTTTCTGTTGTGCATGAGCTAGCTCTAACTCAGCTCTGTAATGAAGGGAAGTGTAAACGTTGCTCTTTATAAAGAAAAGAGACATACTATTAGAAAGCAGCCTGCCTTAGATTAAAGTACAGGATGAGGTCAGAGTGACGCTTAAACCCAACGTTTCAAACCTGTTTTCAATATTCTTAGTCCTCCCTGTTGGAGCTGTGACATAACTTCATGCAATGATATTCCAGTCCTCTCAGCTTCTGCAAAGACAATACTGCCATCTTACTGCAGAGATTAGAACTGGATTTTAAACATCAGTATAAAAAGATCGGAATCGAAACACCATACCCTGATTTGCTTGGATTTGGTCAACATAAGCATTGCTATCAAGAGATATATTTTCAATCTGGTTGCTTATTGATTCATTTTTGCAGTATAACACCATCTTGAATATTAACCACACAGCCCTGGTATCAGTTTTAGGTATTGGGGACTGAGTGATGAAAAAGTAATGACAGAGGAAAACAGTTTTTTTCATGATGTTTTCAGCACAGACTGCATTGCTGCTCCTTTGTTGTCAAGGTAACCAAATGAAACCAATAACCTTTTAATGATGTGGTCTTTCTCTTACAAAATCATAATAGTTTAATGGTTATTAAGGAAGCATGAATAGTATGAATATTTCAGATGACCTAAAGTTTCAACAATGTCTTTTTTCTCCACTTCATTGAAACAGAAATAACTCTTTGTACTGATTGATCTGTTTATTTAAGCTTTATTTTTTCTATTTCATATTTCTGCTGGCAGCTTCCATTGGTCTCAGGATTGGCCTCACTTCTAATGCTGGAAGTGACTTGTGTCTTATCTGATACAAGTCTTTAAATGTGTGCAAATCTTAAATGACAATTTATTTTTTTGCAAATGTCAGAAGCCAAAATTCAATTTACAACAAAACAGACTGAGTACATATTGAATTCTGCCATTTTGAATTAGATAGCACCAGCACATCACAAAAAAGCTGAATGTGGGCTGGAGAAGAGGGAAGAAAGTGCAGCTAAAAAGTAACCGAGGGGCAAATTAGGTTAACTGACAACAGCTTAGAAATATGATAGTTTAAAAAATTAGCAATACATATAGGCAGTGTGTCAAAAGTAAGTAAGTTCAGCAATGTGCACAGAAATTTTTACAATCGTCCATCCTCTACATTACATGATGTCATCAAAACCTTCAGAGAACCTGGAGACATCTTTTTGCTGAAAGAACAGGTCGAATGAAATAAAACATGGCTTTGATGGTCAAGTCCCCAGACTGCCCTGCATTACAAACAGATATCCAAACATAACAGCCTGTCAACACTGTTTGCTGTGTCATCCACACCTACAATTTGAGGCTTAACCATGAAACCAAAATCCATCTGTGAACAAATTGAAGAAAACAGCCATCTGCTCTGGACCAGAGAGCAGAAATTCTAGTCCGCCCAACCTGCAGGCGACCATTCAGCTTCTTCTTAATGCTTAGTTCAAAAGCCATTATTTTCTATGTTTGTGCCATCCAGCAGAATTGTTTTTTATTTTATCATTTTGCTTGATGTCGGTCAGAATTGTTTCATTTCTAGCCACAGTTCAACAAAAAAAGATTTCACTACAAGCTCATGGACCAAATAAAATGACTTTCTACATTCATTAAATCGTATTCAATCTAAATGTATAACTGAAATGTAAATAATCTAAATCAGGACTTCAGAATAAAATTGCAAGAGCTCTCAATGAAGTTTTCTAGAGCTATACATTTATTTCAAATCAGAGCATCCACTGAAAACTCATGGAGGTAATTGACTTTATTATGATCAAATAATGAGAAACTGGCAACACATATCATGACCCCTACATTTGAACCCGTAAGTCAGAGGGAGGCGATCTGTGGTCCTCGGAGAACTGTGGACTTCTTCGCCTTTAACGCATTCTCTCAAAGCTGCTCGCCACGAGCAAATGGCGTTTGTTGGCTCACTCCTCCTAATCTGAGGTGAGCAAACACGGTAAGGAGTGTCAGCGGTGAGTGAAGGCAGATGAGGCGCTGTTGTTGGTCCTGCCCCCCCCTCCTCTTCCTCCTCCTCTGCAGCAGCATCACCCAGCAGGAGTGTCACTCGATCGCACCATGGTGGCAGCGCACACTTCTTCGCGTTCGTCGGAATCTGCCGAGTGGATTATTTGTCTGGATAAGAGGTAATCGATTTTCAAAAAAAGAAAAATGATAGACCATCGTGCTGCCGTTGCTTTGCTGGCTCACTTAACGACAGATGAGATGTTTGAGAAATGCCCATTGCTCACTTTGGAGATCTTGGGCGTTGGGTTTCAACAGCTGCACTAGGCTGTGTTTGCGACTGGAGTTTTTCGTCTCACGGCGGAAACTAAGCGCACCGGAGCCTGAATCAGTGCATCCTTGAGCGCTCCAAGGTTACCGTTTAAGTCACGTGCTCACGGCGCCTTTGACCTGCAGTTGGCTTCACGTGCACGACCTGCTATTTCATGCCATACTCCTTGTATTAGAAGTTATTTCCTGAACACAAATCAAATCAGCAAGTTTTGGAAATCTCAATATTTCTGGGTGCAAACAGAACTCGCCCACATATGCAGTGCAGTTGAAGTGCATGTGAAATCCACAGTTTACTTTGATTGTATTCTGATGTATGCAGAATGGTGCTTTCGTTTCTTGAGCCATCATCTTGGATGGCTTGAGTTCTTATTCGTGACACTCATCATTTTGATCCATTATCGTTGATGAAACACCTTTGAACAAAGTGGGGCAGCTGTCCAAGAAAACCTGCAGTCATAGTGCAGTGGAGCCTGGAAAAGTGGGTTTGCTTTTGGTTTCTGGTCTGCTCTGTGTAACAGACATTAAACAGCCTTATAAAATACTATACTCTACTCAAAAGCCCATCAGTATCTAAACATTGCCACTTAACCTCTGCTGCTTGATTTCAGGGTGTTAATTTCTATAAGTTATGTTAAAACAATAATCCATCCACAGCTGAAAAGCATTTCCTTTTCCTAAATAAGTAATTTAGTTGATATCTGCTGTCATTCCTGCTATTACTACTCTCAGTCAAACCAACAAGCTATCTGAATGAAACAAACCAATAACACAAGTCTCCTTGGTTGACATAGTTTGAAAAAATACAAACTTGATGCATCCCACTTCCTTATCAACTTATATTGGTGCTTTTTCAGAAAAAAATTTAATACATTTTTGTAAAGTTTTTCAAGATTAATCTGGCAACCATTCACATCTGAATAAAGTATATGATAAGTATAGTATTTATTTATAGGGTTCAATCAAGATAAAAACCATTTATCTGATTCTAAGGGTTTATAGTATGTAAATTTGATCATTAAAAAACAGATGTTGACAATATACTTAAGAAACCGTCTCATGCATCTCTATGAATCTCACTGAATCGCAATATGGTGGCACATACACAATAATTTTTTGGAATCCTTTAAAAGAGATTTTCTTGAGATTTAAGAGTTTGGTAAATGAACACAGTTCTTTGTCTATCAAACCTTCATATTTGCTAGACATGTTTCAGATGAAAACTTATCACTTGGATACCCAGGGAGATGAGAGCGAAAATGTGTTTATCACAAAGACGACGACCAAAGTGCAGCAGCTATAAACAGCAAAGTGATGCAGTGTGCCAGATGTGTTTACACAGCACTGTCCCTCGGTTGGTTGTAGAAGCCACCTGCGCCTCTTAAATCAATTGGTTCTTCTATGACTCACTTTTTCCCAGCAAAGTGTGTCTTCATGCAGTTACTCGGGGCTAATCTTACAGTGTAGTGCGACGGACAGTGCAGTGAACATGATCCATACTGGATCTGAAAACTGAAGGATTTAAAAATGATTGGAAAAGATGAAGGCTTAACTGCTGCCATCACACTTTAATACTCTGCTTCCTCTCATTATTAGATTTGTTACATCTAATTCTGCGAGTGAATTGGAAATTAGATTAAATGGCCATTAGGAGCATCAGTGTTTGCAGTAACACTAGAATAGGCAGACGTGATGAAAGTGTCCTGCCCTCAGTTGGACTTGTTGAAATCTTTCTCAGTTTGTCTTTTTTTTTACAACTTGGTTGGCTTCCAAAAACACTCCGGCTTTGAACTTCCCACACGTTGCTCACTCTCCAGACTATTACACTTTCCAGGGTGTGATATAAAGTAAGGAGTGCTAAATAATAGGGGGAGAGAGAGAATGTGCGAGAAGAACAAGGATTATCCTCATTTGATGTGACTGTATGTGTGATCATGAACATTTTGTTGGGAACGGACAATAAAAGCCATTGTGTTGAGTGTTGGTGAACAATAAACAACACCACTAAAATGGGAATAGTACAAAATTATTTTTAGGGTAACATTAAGCCAGAGGCAAAAGCTTGCTTTCCTTTTTCTGAATTATTGATGCTGTTTGGGTTTACTTTTTAAACTGACTCATAGGTGTTCTGAGATATATTTCAGATGCCTAGATGATGCATCAGCAGCTGTGGATTCAAATATGAGAACGTGTAATACATAAAACACAGCAGCTATCATGGAGGGATTTAACGCATACATGTATATGCATACAGACCTTTAGATACTTTTTTAGATACATATGCATGCTTTAATCTTTAGCTGCCTTCAAGGTCACAGGCATTGCTAGTTAATACACATAAAATGTATTTAAGCAACTACTTTGATCAAATTGTATAAGTGAAGCAATTATCTGAACATGGAAATGGTCTCCTTTTGGGTGGTGCATTATATCCACTGAATAGTTATCATTTGTTGAACAAAACCATGTCAGTGATTGGAATTTAGAAGGGAAAGCCTCTGGGCTTCCTTTCACTTTGAAAGTAATATCTTTTTTCTTCCAATATCTTGCGTGACCCATATGCAGCAATGGAGCTGGGAACAGCACAAAGAAATAGGATAATATATATATATATATATAGCAGCCAAAATTATTGTCAGGCTAAAGAAAATATGACTTTCCATTGATAGACACTTTAGTCTTCTATTGTATTTGTTACATGGGAGGAATTAACATATTTTATGGAAGGTCCTCACTAAAAATTGAGAAAAATCTTTCAATATGCCATAGTGTCCGAGCATATTTTGAATGTTACCATAACAGTATTAAGTTCATAAAAAAAACAGTAAACATTGTGAATTTTAACTAGTTATATTAAGTCTTTTTTTCCAATTTCAGATCGGAAATTGTGCATAAAGTTAAATTATTTGAACAAAGTTTCATCCTATTTTTCTTCATGTTCTGCAACTTTTGGTATCAGAATCAGAATCAGAATCAGAAATACTTTAATAATCCCAGAGGGAAATTATTTTTGTTACAGGCTCCATAAGCAAAATAAAACAAAGGCATATACATATGTACATGTCTATACATATATACATATATATATACAAAATTCCTCATAAATATAGCTAGATATATACAAAATGAGAGGTGGATAGTGTCAATGATTAAGATTGACTCTCAGAGGGAAGCGTTGTACAGATTGATGACCACCGGCAAGAAGGATTTCCGGTGGCGCTCTGTGGTGCATTTGGGTGAGAGGAGTCTTCTGCTGAAGGAGCTCCTCTGTTGGGCCAGTGTGTCGTAGAGGGGGTGAGACACATTGTCCATGATGGACTTAAGCCTGGACAGCATCCTCCTCTCTGCCACGGTCGACAGAGTGTCCAGCTCCTCCCCTACAACATCACCGGCCCTCCTGATCAGTTTATAGGCCTTAACATAATAGTAAAGAGTAGTACTGTGTGAAAATGAAGGTGCTATGTGATGGATTTCCACTGCAGAGCTTCAGATTTTTAGAAATTGGGTCAAACTGCAGTCGTGCTGCTCTTAATGATACACGATCTGTATCCAGTTCAGGCAGCTACTTTCCAATTTTACCTCAGATGCAGTCCGCATTGTGTGAAATTAAAAAAAATGTTATCTCTCCAGACCAGCAGAGCGCTCTAGTGAGGACGTTGATATTATCCTGGCTCGGCTGAAAAATGTGAAGGCCTTTGAGCGATTCCACCTCAGTTTGCTGCAGCAAATCTGCTTGTGTGGGTTCTATGAGTGCTTGGAGAAAGGCATCACCTGTGAGTTGGACACACACTCTGATATATAGCTAAGTACAAAATGATTTGTTAAAGAGAATTTGAAATAAATAACATGTTTTTTTACTTTTTAATCTTTTAAAATGTTGCTTTTGTTTTCAGTGTATCGCCAAGGAGACATTGGCACCAGCTGGTATGCTGTGCTCTCTGGTTCACTGGATGTGAAAGTGTCAGAGACTTCGAATTATCAGGTGTGGCTAAAGGGATCTCACAACCATCCAGCGAGGGTTGTTTTTTTATTTAACTCATTGGTTTATTTGATTAGGACAAAAACACTGGATAAGCTGATTCAATCTATCAAATGCTGGTGTATGTCAATAAAAACAAGCTTCTCTGCACTGTTTTCGTGTTTTCTCACAGAGGGTCCATTATTAAAACATTCAAACGCAAAGTTTTTGCACATTGGAAATGTTTGAACTAAAAGAACTCTTAAAATTAGAATGCTTTCCTCTTCTGTCCTGCATGATGAATCGTGTAAGTGTACTACTTTTCTTTATATGTCATCCAATGCAAGGTTAAGCAGTTTTTCAGGGAGTTTTTTATCAGTAAAACTATATTTGCTCCATCCATACAGCTATTTTTGTTGGAGGTAAAGATTTGTCATAAGCCCAATTTCTCTGGATGCTGACTGAAAGGATTTATAGATTGTGTTTTATATATAAAATTAGTTTTTATTTTAAGAGTTCAAGATAATTTATAATCTGGCTGGGGATCACATTTTCGGTGAACATAGTTACAGTTTAATCGATGTTGTCCTGCAGCTAGACACACTGTAGAGCTGTATGTATACTATCTTTCAGGATGCTGTTACCATATGCACACTGGGGACTGGGACAGCGTTTGGGGAGTCCATTCTGGATAACACCCCCAGACATGCTACCATTGTCACTCGAGAATTCAGCGAGCTCCTACGCATTGAACAGAGGGAGTTCAGGTCTCTGTGGGAGGTAAGTTCAGTTCCATGTGTACTTGTATCAGCCTACAGAAATTCTCTGGCTTCGTTGCAGTTAGAAATGTCAGACATGAACCCAAGGTAAGATCTGAAAGGTTGCAAACTGAATGTCCCGTGTGTGTATTTCCTTACAAATGATTTTTAAGAATGTTTTACAAATATACTGTATTATTTCAAAATGACATTTTATTTGTCTCTTGTTTTTTCAGAGGACATTTTTTTCTTCCGATTTCTCATAAAACCCTTATTAGTCACTAAGCAAAGGATTGGGTCACAATGGGCTAATTTCTGACCAACTGAGGGGGCTGCCTAGAGACTTAGAAGGGCCACCTGTCTCAGCCTGCTTATGAAACACAGAATGTGAAAACTGAGAAAAATAGAGCTGCTTGCAAGCCAAAGTGTAGGTGTTGTACAGACATGTTGAATAATAACACTTGATTAGGAATGTATTCCTCTGCTGACTTGAGCTGTCTTGTTATTAAACTAGGCTCATTAAACTTAAACCACTCCCAAGTTTGTGCTTACGGTCAAGTCGTCTGTTAATCCAAATTCTCTTAATCCTACAAAAAAAGATCTTCAGTGCTTTCTCAATGATCTTCTTTAGTGTGAAATACACCAGACCGTCCATAATGTGAGGGAGGATATATTTCTGTCTTTATGGCCACGACTTCTATGGCAGAGCTTTGTTTTTTTCTTCCACTGTAGACATGTGATAAACATTAGGATAGAAAGCCTGTAATAATACTGTATTTCCCTTTTTAAAAATGAGAAGAGGACCCTAGTGTAGACTTAGAATTAGATTGAGGGATTATATATCCCATTTGGCTAGGGAACACCTTGAGTTACCCCCATCACTCTTTCTTGCTGGAAAGAGTGATGTATGGGATTCCCTTCTGAATCTGTTGGCTCTGCAAGCCAACCTCAGATAAGCAGGGAAAAATGGATGAATGGACTTAAAAAAAAACATCCTTTCCTTTTTCAGTTGCAACAGTTGAAAATAAATCACTATTCTTTATTCTCTGATACAGCAGATTACAGTTAATCTAACAAGGCTGTAAAAGATGTTGTAACCTTTGTATCTTACTGATGGTTACTAAGCTGATAACAGCTTAAAGTAAGTGACTTCACTTTTTAAAGAAAGATAGTATATCTGCTGATGTACTGGAGTGTTGGATGTTGATTGGTTTTGGCCACTAGGTGGAAGCACAGCACAGAGGAGAAACCGACACTTTGGCTCTCTCCCTGTGCTAACAGGCGTGACGATATATGCTGAATGTGCAAATACACTAACATTACTTTGCAGGTATATCGCACTTTATATCATCAACTTTAGAGTGTAAATTTCCAAAGAGGCAAAGTATTATTGTTAACAACCCAAAGGGAAGTGCAGGGGGCCTCACTGCACCAGTCATCTGTGAAACTCCTGCTACTGCTGGTTGATTGATGCCACGCTGTGCAGAAGCCCTCTGGTCTCCCAGTTCTCCCTCTATACTGGGCTGGTTTCCTGAGAGACACAGCCCATTTCCTCTGGGACCACAGGGCATCAGAGTGTTAGATTATGGGCTCTGTGTCTGTGACTGAGTGTTGGCCGACGACATCGAGACAGGACACTTTTCTTTCTGAGTGTATACACTTCATAATCACACAGAAAGATTGCTGAAAAAAACTTTCACCTCTGCCCCGGGGCGGCCTCTTCAGTAAGGTTAGTCTGACACAAGACTCTCCAGTTTCTGAGCCTGGTGGCCAGATTATGCTATCTTGTTTTTAGATCTGGCTTGTTTTGGTTTTGTGATAGATAGAGGATTGATGTGAATTTTAAGATTTTTTTTAAAATTATATTTTGAGTGCTTAATGTCTGATCAAGGATGTTTTCAAAATTTTAGCTCAAGTTCAAAGTTTTTATTTTTTGCCTACTTACTTTTGCACGGTTCTTGTTAGATATAGGTAGATTAATTCTTGCATCTTCTGTTTAAAAGGTTTGGTTTATCTATAAAACATGACAAATCAAACATTTATCAGTGACATTTGTAAGACTTTAGAAAAAATGGACTCCCCCTAGACTTTTATCTATTTATTTATTGTCATCCTTCATTCGGGCAGTGCATTGTTTAGTGTTTCTAGTAACTCCACAGATATAAAATCTACCCATGCCATCTGCACTAATCCACCCCCTCACTACAGTGAGTGTTGCCTTTTGGACTGTGCACATGATCATTCTCCTCTTTAGGTTGAAGGATGCAGCTTCCATTTCCTAAAAATGTGTCTGACCAAAGAACAATGCTCCTTTTCATCTCTTTCCAACATATATGAGCTATATGTTGTATAATGTTTTTTTTGGCCAGATGTTCCATTGACTAGAAAATTATTATAATTTCAAATCGTAAATTGAATCTGATGTTTTGGAAATGGATGGTATTTCAGTGACGAATGTACATTTTGTGTATGCTTTATTGAAAGCAACAATTTCCAAACACCTTAATGTTGGATTTTCTGGCCATAAGGTCAGATTTCAAATAATTTACATGTTAATTTCACTGACCTTTAGCTTGTTCCAGTTTATGCAACCAGTCCAGCTTGCCTGCCAGCGATGCTAATTTCCACAATTCTTCACATGTTGCTGCATAGGACAAAATTTGCTTATGTAGTACTGATGTTATCAAACTGCAGTTTTTTCTGGCTCTTCAGTTGTCTTTAGAGACAGGCTGCCTCTCTCTGCCCTGCTTTGTCTTAACGGTTGCTTTAGCAAATAAAATTCGCCTCCTGCACACAGGCTTGATTTTAACTGAGCTGTGTTTTGTGATGCATGAATATTGTTAAGCTGCATGAGGTCAGTATTGTTGAAGCTTACAGTACCAAAAGCTACGAGGGGCCTAGGAATACAGCTTGATGCCAGCTGATATGGGAGCTACAATATTGAATTAATGTAAAGTGAAACAAATTATGTAGATGGATAAAGGGAGCACTGGAAACCGTGGCTGTGTGAGAATAGCATGGATACGATGAGCCACAAATGGGTTGTTAATCTTAATTTAATGTCAATGTTGTTACATCCCCAAGTCACATCATGTCTTAGGTGGGTCGAATACATCACTGCATGACTATTAATCACTGTTTATTTTTTCTCGTGTCGCTGGCTGCTACAACTTGAGCAACTTCATGCAGCTCGGCACGTGACAGAAGCTGGACTCAGTTGCCAGAAATGGGCAGCCGGGTGCTTGTTTGTTTAACAGAGCAGACATCAGCCAAGCTCAGCACAAAGGGGGGGATGGTGACCACTGCTTTGATGACCTGATCACAAACTCATTCTTCACTTTGTTTCCTGCTTCCAATGGCCACTGTCGTTGAAACAACACAATACCACTTTGCCTTTCAGGCTCGAAAGGTGGCGCTTGTGCAGACACATATCAGCTTGCTTTTGGCCTTGACATGAAGCTTTATTTTTCTACATTAGATGTGTTGCAGTTTGCAAGTTAACATTTGTATAGACCTAGTCTAGATGCTTTATTGAGTAACATGGCACTGCACATGCCCATTGTATTATTATGCACATGTGTTCTCATGCTTGGGGCATGTCTGTTGGGTGCCCAGCTAAGGGAGGGAAGATTGGTGTGTCACTATCACCATTCTATAGAAGCAGCCTGGTGGGCAGCCAGTGGAGAAGGCTGATGAACATGAAGTGGCAGGAATGCAACATGCCCTCTAGTTTTTTAGTACAGGGTGTGGGGGAGGTTGGAAAAACTGGGCCAAGTATATCTCTTGATGGTGATTTTACGCTGGATGTGTGTGAGTGAAGAACAGGTAAACAAACATTCCTCCATAACGGTTAAGAGAGATATTACATTAAATCTGTTCAATTAGAACAGAATTTAAAACGAAACTACATTCAACAAAACAAGACCAATAGATGTCCATGTTCATTCTGTCATTTTGACAATTCTTTGATACAATTGTTACTGTGTGTGCTTGTAATGTTTCCAGAGCAGTTGAAAAAAGCAGCACTGGCTGTAGTGAAGATCTCAGATGATCAGCCGGCATAAAAGAGATAGAATTAATTTAAACAGAATGAACTTTTGTCACAGGGAAAGCAATGTAATAAAACCTTTGAAATGTTGATTGTGGTCGATTTAGAGTTTGACCTAAAATATCTGTTTTGATATATGAGTATGAGTTTTTACCCATACCCTGTTTTTTCCATGATTTAAGTTTTTATATGAAAAAAATAGATTGAAAAACACTTACAAATAAAAAAGTTGGAAATATAACTAAGTGGCATAACTATTCATTTTTATGTTCTTTACTTGTTAAAAAAAAAATCTACTTTAAATTTGAAAACATATTTAAATTTTAGCTTAAGATATCAGTTTTAATTTCTCTTATAGTGCTTCAAACGCAGAATAAAATCAAACAACAACTGGTAAATCTCAAACACCAGACACAAGTACAATCCTGACTTCTAAACGTACTTGAAGCATAAAATCAACATGCAATTTGAATAACAATGAAACATGTTTTACTTGAAGCGGGGATGTTAGATGTACTTATGGTCGTTTTTTGGTTCCCGAGGGAGTTTTTGTGTCTTTGACAAGAACAAGGTCAAAGATTGGACACCATTTGCTGCCTGTCCCTGAGCAGAGTATAGACTCTATGATACAATCTGCACATTTTAGATTGTTCTTAAAACCTCTTTGTTGCTAGATTTGCAGGTTAAATATAGATATAACTATCCACCCCCACTACCCTACATTAGCTTTGCAATCTTACTTTTATTATGTAATTAAAAATAACACCCAAGCAAGAATAGAAAATTAAAGGTAATCATTGTAGCATTCATTCATCCAATTCCATAAATGCAGGACCACCGAACTCCTTATTGTCTGAAGAGTGAAAAGAAAGACCTCATCTTGTTTTAGATGTGACTTATACTAAGGGAAAGACAGACAGCATTTTTCAAATTATCCTGGTCTCGTACCTAACTAAATTAATCCCCCATTCTTC